AACGGTTCCATACGCTGAATGACAAATCTACTGGAGTTTCTACTATAGGTTTCGATATTAAATTGTGCTGATGTGCTGAATCTTCTGTGGCAACTAAAATTCTACCTCAGTTGAAATTCGGCTGGAATTTCAAACTGTCGCATTCTCGTATTAAATGGATTTCAACAATATTTATTGAGAAGCAGCTTGGAAAACATAATTTTATAATAAATAGGGTTTAAAAACGTCCATACTCAAAAATAGCTATTACTGAAACCGGTTTACCAGCAACATAACATGGCGTGGCCGTCGGGTGAGACAGTGGAATGGAAGCACTGTGGATTTTTCTGCATCAATCTTTTTCGGGCCGCGGACAACGAAAGTAGTTGATTAATCCTACAAAACTATACATACTGATATTTTCGCAAGAAAATAAAAGAAAACCTACTTACGAACATAAATCAACAAAATCGCGGTGAACAAAAAAAAAGAACGGATATAGATCAGCGAAAAAACAGCTTTTGAGTGACAGTGGCCCTAATATGTATATTTATTATGACTTGTATTTTTGCAAAAGTCCTAAAGTTAGCTCAAGTATGTTCGAGCGCGACTGTAGTCTCCAGAGTCCGTAATCCGTAATCACAAAAGAATCTATTGATAATCATAATAAAAACAGCGCAACACAACTACATTATCATGTGTTCACTGAACAGTCTAAAGAGTTTCAGATGTGTAGTGAAGTTTTATAAAATAAATATACTCGTCTGGAGTTTGTGTTAATGATTATGTACATACTGTGCAATATACATCCCCTGTGAGCAGGCAACAACTAAAAGTATTATTTTTGAAAAGTGTTCGATAAAAATGCCCATTGGCAAATTGCCTTTTTCCTTACCGCCAAAGCCGTTTGCCGGCGAAATATGCGGGCAGGACAGCACGATTGACTCACGAATGTCTAACAGTGGCATCGCCGAAATACCTAAAATGGAGTTACTAAAGGTTAACTATGTGCATCAGTGCAAGCGGGCTATAATGCACAAGTCGAATGAGTCCCCACAGGCTCTCCGGATGAACAATCCCGCTCGATTTGGTGGATATCGCAGACAACCGCCTCAATTAAGTACCGAAGCTCAGATGAGCCTGTCTGGACGATCGTACTGCTTATCACCTAAGAGCGTGCCGGACCCAAAGCCCTCTCTACCACCACCTACAATAGAGTCGTGGCAGCTACTCTTGAAACCAGGCCACAAGCGCACATCTCCGCCTAGGGTCCATACTCAGAAAAATACTCAGACAACTCTGCCGAATGAATCAGAATGTGCTCTGTCGCATTGTTGCTCATGTGCTGACTCGCACTCTGACAGCACAGAGGTCAATACTATCGTAGATGATTGTAAGAAATCGCAGAGCTGGAACTACCTCAGGAATAAACGCGACTTACAGCGCGTGGCTGGAGGCGTCAAATCACGGGCAGATCGTATCGCGCGCATCGAAAACAGAGAGTGCGATTCTCGTCTAAAATCGCGGCCCCAAATATCGAACACGTTGACGAATCACGATGTAAATCAGACTGCACCAAAATGGATGTTTCAGAAAACCGAAGTCGACAGTGGGAGCAGTTCAATATTGGTTGAAGAGAAGGAGTCTCCACGCATTCAGCAAAAAGTCAAGTTGGAGCGTGTTCACATTCGAAAGAAGCGACAGCCACTACTTGTCGTTAACCACATAGAGGCTAAAAAACCCCAGAGTGGCAACAAATTACAGGTTTCGAACAACAATTCTGAACTTTCAACATGCAGCTTTGCGCACTGTTCGCTCTCCCGGCATGATGGGGGTCCAAATAATATAACCGTTAATGGAGAGAAGCGTTTTTCTTTTGAGAGCTGCTCTGACTCTGGTGTATCTTTCTCTAATGACAATAGCCATGAACGGACTAAACAGACGAATATCCGCCAGAATAAAGAGTGTGTGGGCTGCAAAAAGGGTCTTGAAAAGCAAAGCCAGATCAAAGAATACGATCAAACAACTGCCGCCCAGTCAGATGAAGTCGCCTGCTGATCACAACGATGTCCAAAACTTTGCCAAGAAGAATCTCACCAAGGCCACTACCAATGAGCTGCTGAAAGCTGCTACAGTACATGCAAAGCAATGTAATATTGAAAAAGAACGAAACATAAACGGTCTTGTTGTAAAGCTAGCGGACACTAAGTCCACAATCGTATCTATCGACGACAGTTGGGTCCGGGAGTCCAGCCTAGATCCCTATGATGACTACATAGAAACCGAGTCTCAGACGTTTTCAAAAGCTGCCGGCTTTTTGAATCAATCATTTTTCGAACCGATCAAAATGGACAACTTGAAAATGATTGTAAACTGCAGCAGCGATAGTGATAAGTTTAAGGAAACTCCCAGAAGTCATTCTGTAGCCCTGTCATCAAGCATCTCAACGTCTTCCTCCGGCTGCGGTGAGGAATGCTATTTTGACATTAGCTCACAGTGTGACTCAGAACACGATTGTTGCCAATGCAATCACTCCAAATCAGCGAACTTCCTTTTGAATGACTGCTGCAATGCAGTCGGCGGTGTTTTCTGGAACAATGCATACAACGAATCTTCGACGGACGTTGCGGCTAGCTGTTGCTGCAGCATATCCAGCTGCGACGAGGATGACTGCTCCTACTACGATGGGGATTTCAGCACAGACATAGCGTACATGAAAACTTGGCGCGAGGGCCAACTGGCACACACTGCCAAAGAGCTCATACGAAACAAAAAATTACTGCTTAAGGTAGGAAGCGAATATGGTACTATGTATGCAGACCTAATAATTATTGTGTCTAATAAGGCGGAAGTTGCGCTGGGCATAAAGCTTTATGCTTCCGCTTGCCTGCTGAATTTTCCCATAGATCATACGGAAAACTAGGTCTATTCATGCCAGGTGTTCGTAGATTACAAGGCCATATCGCATTCGTGCATGTCCCCGCCTGTTTGGATCTCGCAGACTGTATGAATATGAGCTTTTGTGATGCATATCCTGTAGTATCTGCGTATCTGCAATTTTAAAGATATAGAACTTCGCTTTGACTGAATAGGTATGTTGCCAACATGTTAACGCTCCCAATGTATTCAAAATCAACGCGATCGAGTGTTTGTTACTCGCAGAATAAAGAAAGCATATTCCTATGTACTAAATTCTGTTGAATTGAAAACGATTGAAAATTCGCTTTTGCATCACTACCATTTGCATCTCTTTTTCACTAGTGGACAGCAAATAGCTGGGATCATAGTTTCTTAATGCTTACTTTGATCGTTACGTCCATGCGACTCTCTATATTTGCTAGTAACCACATGCCTAAGGTTACGTTATGTGTGTGGCTCCATGAAATCGTCTTCGCATCATCACCAACACGTAAAATTCCGCTTGGCCTTTCACTTTCTCTATTTTTTGTGCATTTCCAATACTTGAACGCGAAACAGCGTGCGTTCAGATCAGATCAGAGCTGCTTTTGTGTTAGTTTACAATCCCACAGGTAGAACTGAGCTAACGGTACAAGAACCCACAAAGAAATGTTGTTGATATTCAGTGACCCTATTTTATGCAAAAAAAACTGGAAATCTGTTTTGGAAGCTAAAACTCTTGTGTAGCTGTACTCGCCCTGAAAGCTGCTTACAAATATAACTTCCCATGCTCAAAAGGCATAGGCAGCACAGATTAGAAAATCAGGTTCCAATTCCATTCTTTGGTTTGAATTTAAACAGTTATAAAAACATAGTTACAGAAATCTTCGAACTGCTTCGGCTACCATTCACTCAGTGGTCTACTCAATATTAAAAACATTTTACCGGCTCAGACTGAGGTTCCCCCTCTCTTGTACAAAGTCATTAAACATTTAATACTACTTTCTAAGCGATTTCAGTCTATCGTGGCCACGAATAACGATATCGTTGCTCAAACGAAGCACATATTCGGGTAGCCATGAAGCGCCGTACTCTAGTTTTCATGCCCCTAATTCCACACTTCTTTTAAATGTGAGCAAGTTCGCGCTATGCTCACAAAGCACAATGAAAGCGTCATATTTTAAAATTCATCGAACCTTGCATACCCTTAAAAACCAATTTCGATATGAAAACATAGACATATTTTGTTTATTTGTACAACTTTCGTATATACGTATACATACGAGTATGTATAACATATTTTGGCCTATATTGCCGATCAATTGTAGTCGTTTTAATTGCGAGCGTAGAAGTCAATAATGCATTGAATCGTGGTAGACTCGTTTCTACAACAAATCATATTTCCCTAAAGACGACCAGACATTGGTTAGCTTCATAACCTAGCACTGCCAATAACTATTACAGTTATATTCGAAATGTAGCCCTTTGACGTTGTTGGCATGACTATGCTATGCCACGAAAGTCCAACGAAAGTTGCTTCGGACATGCTAAGGTGGTTAAACACAAAGAACCGTTTTCCCAGATAAATTAGCGATTGTAGTTTGAGAAGTTTGGAAGTCTGCTTTCTGTTGAAATGGCAAAGCTAGACAGCTCTTGTATGAAGCATACAATAGCCTCCGGTCCTCCTATTATCTATATGTTGGTCTGAAAATCGAGCAGACGATTGCGACTTATGTCCACCGGTGACTCGTGTTAAGATTTAAATTTTTGTAGCGCTGAAACGTTGATTACCATCAACATCCGAGCCGATAGAAACATGTCGCCCTCCGTCTTTCAGGAACTTAGCTCTCAAAATTCCAGGGAAAGCGCTGGTAATTGAGATTATGCGACAAGTGCAAGGCATCGGGTTAAGATCATAATTCCCAATAGAAGCGTTCAAGAATGATGGATAATTTGAAAATAGTTTTTGGATCCTTTAAAATGTGGTAGGAGTTGGGAATGTAGGCTTAGTTGAAATTCGATGGTATGGTAGTTTAGCGTTCTTTATATATTCCTTTACCTTGGATTTCAAGTAATCTTCAATTTACTAACCAATTGGAGTGAAATTTTTTGTTGATTTACAGACTGATGGTATCCATGAGTTAAGGCCTACATCTATTGATGTTGTAACGGATTCGGGGATATCGTTAACCAGCAACTCGAACCCAGACAGCGTCGAGCACCTACAAAATCAACAGGTTAGTAATTCAAAATAGACAAATGCAAAGTGCACCTTATATTGAGCCGCAAGACAGACCAAAGGAAAAGTATTGTTTGGTGCTCACATTCGTAAAAATTTAATTTAATTTTGTATTGTAGGACTTGGATGCCCGACGCCTTAAACGTGGTCATGTGCTAACGGAGCTTTTAGAGACGGAACGCATCTACGTAAACGAAATGAGTTCAATTCTAAAGGTAGGAAAACATCAATAGTATCGTTTTTTTATATTATTTTTGTAGGTATTCTAGGTAGGTGCCTACAAAAAGTCGTTTGATTAAAACAAATTTTAGACACTCGAGGCGGGTTTCCGCGGGCAGAACGCGCAACCAACCGTGTTGCACCAAGACTTAATTCCAGATGTTTATATCTCAAAAGTGGTCAGCGAACTGGAGCCGAAGCAGAATTTTTTAAAGCCCCATTATCTTAAGGCACGAGCCATGCATGAATGCTTGTGGTTGTAATTAGTGCATTAAGTTCATTACGTTAATAATCCTCAAGAACATCTAATGCATATGTACAAGAGCGGTACTGCAGTTCAGTCATTCTGTGTTTAGCTCTTGTACGCGACGGTTGATCTCATCTCAAATTTTAAATACCAATATGCGATATGGCGGATACGATCTTAATAAAGCTTCAAAGCCAAAGTCTTCGGGTGGGCAATACTCCCTTCAATTGCGACGGGTACAAAATGCAGCAAACAATATTGTCAGTCGCTTCAATTTTAAATTGGGGAACTCCATGAGCAGGCAACTTAACTTTTCGATGGGAGACCCGAAAATCTCTCGTGCCTCTCCCCTCTCTTTTCAAGGCTCCCTTTTTGATTCTCAGCCGTCGAATGGGTCCGTCTGCTATCGTCCTAGCGATTTTCGGCCCCACCTTGCTCCTACCATTGTTGGGCATGACGGGAGCTACGTTTTCGGCATGAATTTCTGCAACTTCGCCACGCGTAACGTACTAAATGGAAAATCTACTATTAGTATCTTCAACAAACTAAAGAAGTGCGATGACATGGCATTTTCCGACAGAGATACGGAAGTGGAGCCTGATCCTGGTGGTCTAACACCAAGCAATAGCCTTCAACGTTTAAAGGACGAACGCCGCACCGTTTTCAAAGAGCTGATTGAGTTGTCCAGTTGTGACGAATCGCTGGAATACCTACTAGTTAAGGACTATTTAGAGTCAAACACATATTCTGAAATTGAAAACGATACTGAGTTCAGGGAGTATCTTCAACGTAAGAACTACTCTGACATATTGGCCTATCTCGAAGATAGTGAACAAAAAAGTTTTTTGTCCGTATCCTCGTCGGTGGCACGTGCACAGAGCTCGCTCAGCTTGTTGAACACAGAAAAAGTGTTGTCAACTCCCAAGGCCCTGCTGGCACCCAACCACATGGACAGTCACATGTGCCACAAATGTCGACTTAACCTGGAAACAAACCATTTAACTCCCCTGGAAAGTAGCCCAAATTCACAGGATAAGAAAAGCAACGACGAACAATCCAACGTACGCAGAGACTACGACGAGATACTTAAATTTTGTCATGACTTTTTTCAAGAAAGCTTCATGAAAAACGATGCTTGCTTACTTTCCAAGATACACCATTCTCACTATAAGCCATCCAAGTATGAGCGGGTTCTCAAGGAATTTGTCACAGCACAAGGCTATGGCAATGTTGCACAGTATGTGGAGCAAAAATTTGGACAGTTCATCAAGGGCAGCAAGGAGTATTCCGTTTTCAGTAATATTGACTATGTGGATGTAATGCATTTCATTATTTTTATGTGAATTGCCGCGATGTTGTTTGAAAATTGCCCTTTTCTTTTTTGTGCTTTTATTTAGGGCTATTATGATCGAATTAAATCGGAAGATCTTTTGCATCTTGCCCCCCCGAGCCTGAATGGGAAAGAGGATATCTTGTTTGGCAACCTACACGAACTCTATACCTTCCACAACGATATTTTTCTTAAAGATCTGGAAAACTGTATTTCAACCACTGAACTTGTGGCGCTTTGCTTCGTTCAGCGGGTAAGTGATGCTAATCAGAGTGTTTATAGATCTTCCTAAAACTTAAATTCTTTTAAATTTCTCTAGCGAGATACTTTTTATCGGCTGTATTCATTTTATTGTCAAAACATCCCACGATCGGAGCGGCTGCGCGAAACCCTTGTGGACACGCACCTATTTCTACAAGAGTGCCAAATGCGACTGGGTCATAAGCTCCCGCTAGCTGCGTATTTGCTAAAGCCAGTACAAAGGATCACCAAGTACCAACTTCTTTTGAAAGACTTGCTTCGCTTCAGCGACAGTGGCAGCTGCACCAAGGAGCTTCAGAAGGCGCTAGATTGCATGTTGATCGTACTCAAGTGCGTCAACGATTCCATGCATCAAGTGGCTATAACGGGCTTCCCGGTAATGAACTTCTTTCATTTTATTTTCTTTCCCTAATGATCTCTTTTGTAATTTTCACAGACCGATCTATCGCAACAGGGCGAACTACTTCTTCAGGATTCATTCCAAGTTTGGACAGAGTCAAAAAAGGACATTCGTCTTCGCATCAAGCCACAGCAGCGACACATATTTCTTTACCAGAAATCCATGTTGTTCTGTAAGCAAACCTCAAAGCCGGGTCATAACAAAAGTACCTACCAGTTCAAGCACCACGTAAAGGTGAGTCTCATTGAAACTGGCCAATTCATCGAGACAAATCATATCTTATTTAATACATACCAACTTACTTACCATTGTCAGATGTCTCTAATCGGGTTGACCGAATCTGTGCGAGGCGATACAAAACGTTTTGAAGTTTGGCTTCAGGGTCGACAGGAGGTACATACTCTGCAAGCAGCGACGGTCGATTTAAAGAACAAGTGGGTGGCAGAGATCAAGCGTGTTTTACTCAATCAGCTAGAAGAATTAAAAGGCGAAAAAATTAAGCAGTACAGCCTTAACCACCGTGGCCTCAGGCAAACGACTTCATGGGACACCCCTAACATTATTCTAGCGAACACGATAAGCTTTGATGCCGGTTCAGAGTCTTCCAACCGAAACTCGAACTGCAGCAGCGATGATAATGCTGGAGCTGCGTCTATCAACTCTCATAGTGGCGCTGCGGACAAGGAGCAACATGAAGTTTGTGGATGGAGCTCAGACTGCTCCAACAGCGAGGACGAATTATCTCTGGTCGAAGATAATAGCACGCCGGTGAGTGGACCTAGATATTAATAATAATTTTCGTTTTTCAATCTACAAAATACCAGAATACACATGCTTACAAATCTAGGATACAACTATTTTTCGCTAGATGGGCAATTAACTTATTTTTATTGGACCAATCTTTTTCAAATCCGAAAAAATTGTCCTCTTTTAGGAGTGATGACAATTTTTCATTAAGAGAGCGTTAATTCTATTAAGTTTGATTCGATCAACTCGGCTTGTCATCTTCATCAAGAATATACATACATATTTGCATATTAGAAGCGTGTATAATTTGCACTGTACAGAAAAACACTGACGTCGCACGTCGCAGTCAAAAAACCAAGTATGAGTCTTATTAGCAAATGATTTACATGCCTAATAGGTTAAATGAATTGTAAAGTAATCTTAGATACTTTATATGAAATAAAAAACGAGAAGGAACGTGTGAGTTGCTTCTGGGGACGCGACTTTACTTATACCCGTACTCAGTCAGTATATACATTTTTGGGCTTATGATTTTTTAGAATTTTAGAATTAAAACAAAAAAAAGTTTACATTTTACATTTTTTTGCTACATCTGTTATCTACATCTGCAATGTATCTTCTACTCTAACATGTAGATTGTACATGTACCATTTAGATTATACATCTCCTCCGCTAGGGGTTGCTCGCGCACTGAACGCGGCAGAGTGTGCGAGCGAGAAAGAGAATGAGTAGCGTGGTCGCTGGGAGGCGGGGCGGGCGAAGCAACTGAAAATTAATTTCTTCATTCTGGCTATAATTATGATCCGATCTGATTCAGATTCGGCAATCTGGTAGATATGCGCATTCTCTACGATACTGCGCTTTCAGTTTTATCGTATCTTTAAAAATGTGCCTGCCACAGATTTTCGTCCTTTATGGAGGCGGAAGGGGGCGGGGCGAAATTTTGAAATACACTTGAACCAGTGTGATATCACATGAGTCTGGAAACAAAATTTGGTTGCTCCAGCTTTTATAGTCTCTGAGATCCAGGCGCTCATCAAGACGGACGGACGGACATCCACTTTTACCACAAATCTAATATACCCCTTAACTCTTTTTTGAGTACGGGTATAAAAAAACAACAAAATTCAAAGAATTCTGGCAATGCTGGTGTTGCAACTTTACACTTTTTATACTGTATATACTGACTGAGTACGGGTATAAGTAGAGTCGCGTCACTAGAAGCGACTCGAACGTTCCCTCTCGTTCAATATGTGAAACCAACAAACACCAGCATTGCCACCGGACTCTAGAACATATTTATAATATTTATAGGATTTAATTTGATTATGTGGTAGGTTACAATAGTCTACAAATGTTGTAAATCTTAGCGATCTATGAAACAACTCCTTCTATTCTTCTAAAATAACATATCAGGAGAACATGTGTGATAAGTTCGACTGCTTGGCTTTAAAATTTCATCGGGATTACTAACAAATTAAAATATTTTAATAAAATTCAATTATATTTACAAAAATATCGTTCACTCAATGAGATATGTTTGGGTTTTTTCTTTATTTTCATGAACAAAACATATAATAAAAACCAAAAATGTGCTCGTAAACTGCGCAAAATCTGAAATATATCATTAAGTGGTACACAGTGGGTGACAAAACATACAGATGATCCATCCAGTCGGGCCTCAGTTACAGGATACAGCAAATCAAATTCAATTTTCTATGTTTCATTTGACCAATAAACTGTAATATAAAAAGCAATTATAATCGAAATTTGACATCAAATATGCGTAGCGCATAAGTACAAGATGCTAGAAATTGTATGGATTGACCGCTAGAACTTACATCGCAGCCATAAGTATTAAATTGCTCAAATATAGTATTACCGAAACCTATGTAAGCTCATCGTGAATATGCCTGTCTTTAAAATCAATAACCAAATTAAAGAATAACCGAAAAATCAACAATATTTTATAAATTATTTTTATTGGCTTTAACCGCTCTTAAACTGTTTTTGAAATATATAGGAAGATTAATTCCTGTCTTGATAATGATATGCACGTGGACTTTTGTGAAATGTTGTAAACTAAAATGATTATACATCCATAGATAAATAGTTGGTTTGAGTATTTAGTTTTTGCGGTAGTATATTCTGTGAGAAATATTACTACCATGCACGACAGCTACATATGTACATACAGTTGTGTTCAATGAAATAGTAGTGCCGCACCTCACTGCTTTCAAAACTCTTTTTGAGATATTTCTAGTCGTTCAAATGGAACAAGTGATACCTTTATGGAAAGCCTGGAATGTAAGCATTAGAAGCTTGAAGAAACCCCGTTTCATTTGCATTCCATCTTCTTGTTTTTCATGACTTTAGACAACTACCCATGATATCTGCTGTTTAATGAAATAGTAGTGCTGGGTAAATATTATTGTAAAAAATGAAAAAACAAACAAATTAATTTAAATAAGTCACCACCCTTAAGCTCAATTTGGTTATCAAATAATTTGATGAAAGAAAGTTTTGTACATAGCGGTACTTTTGATTTTGAAGCGTTGAAGAAATCATTGCTCGGTCCTGAAGAGGAGACCTCAGATTTAGACTAAAAACTTAAGGCAGGAGGTATAATGGGATTGAAAACTAAGTTGTATGCACTCTCACTATTGTGTTTAATTAATTAACTATAAGAAGTAGACTGAAAATCGATTTTGTATTCGAAAAACATATTTTTTAGAGGATGGTCGGCGATGGTCGAAGGCAAGACCAGGCCATCAATATCCTCAAAAATTATGAAAAAAAATTTTAATTGCTCTGTCAGTTATGTGACAGTTTGTAGACGGTTTATTTCACATTATTTGAATGCAAGAAGTCCCAGAAAACTCTGCGTTTGGGTCTGAGAGTACATGGGTGCACGACTTCAGTTTGGAAAAACTGATGTGAATTGGCCTGTGTCACAGTGACAAAAATATTTTTTACTGATGATAGTAAAGTTGTTTTATTTGGTAAGATAGATTCGAAAGAATATGTTTGGCATTCACAAAAATCCGATTACCACCTAAAATCATGAAAAATATAGCATTGGGCATGCTAGGCTGAGCCTTATGGGGCCCAGCTCATATAAGCTAGTACTTTCTGGCGGGGGAATACCAAATACATTATTGCAACTGCAAATCCGTGAACCAGAGCCAAGTTTTAGCAAGTGGTTCATGGATTATTGGCTCAAATCCTATTGAAGCGTTGGCAAGAGATTAATGACCCATGTTCGGCCGGTGCAAGTTCGAAATGAAAACCAAATTGATTAAAAACTAAATATTAAAGCTCAGGAAACATGAAAAACATGAAATATATGTTTTTATTTGAGATTCGTTGTTTTTTTCAATGTTCTAAAAAAACACTACTATTTCATAGAACAGCAAATTTCATGGGTATTCGGCTTATATCATGTAAAACAAGAAAATGGAATTCAAATGTATTGATATTTCTTCGGTTTTCTAATGGTAACCGTCCAGTCTATTTAAAAAGGAATCATTTGTTCAATTTGGATAACTGGAAGTGTCTCAAAAAGAGTTTTGAAAGGGATGAGGTGCGGCACTACTATTTCATTGAACACAACTGTATGTATATCTAATACGGGTATTTTTTCAAATTTCGTCGAAGCTTTTAGGTCCATTACTAAAGTCACCACATAAAAAATGTTCCTGGCATTATACTTCTCTTTACAGTCTTAATACAGATCGCATCTGTATATACATACATATTTATAGGATTATATCGTCTGTGTCCACATGCTAGTGAAGAACCCCCGGGAAGAAATTCATATCTTATTAAAGGATTGTTTAATTTATTAGCATTATTTGTAGCGCCTTGCCATGTACATAAATTTACAAACGTACAGTTATATGTATAGCGCACTAAAAATTATGAAAGCTTTAATACTTACCTCATTCCATTTGGAATGAATAACGATTTAAAAATATTGATTCTTTCATACTAACACTTCGCGTGCATTTTAATACAGGGCAGTAAATTCATTGCCCTGGCTGACTATACTGCTATGGGACACTCGGAAGTTTCGATGCGTGAAGGTGAAACTGTCGAGCTGCTTAAAGTGGGCTGTGCCGGCTGGTGGTATGTGCGAATCTTAGGTAAATGTTCAAATTTAACGCATGTACCAACCAACTAATTTATTACTTATTTTAAAAAATTGTATTGCAACTTTAGTCATATTTTTAATATTCATGTTTGCTCATTCACAGATGCCACTTCAGAAGGCTGGACCCCAGCCGCGTATCTGGAATCAATCAATCGAAAATCTTCACGATCATCGAGTCGCAATCAGGAACGAATAAATTTTAGATAATTTGTTATTTTTATCTACTAGCACAATGCCTATAAGTCATCTTGATTAGCCAAAATCAAATTCATCGTCTTCTATAGATGCAAAAATGGTTGCTTTTGCGGCACGCAACAATTTTTTGTAGTTGTACGAAAAACACACCTAATATCATTCCACCACTCTGACAGAACCTCCAAATATTTTGGTGCCGCCTATTTATAATTTTCGTAAAATGTAACGGAACTAGTATATATACATATAATAGATACAGATGTATTTATATCAGTTCAAAATGTCTATGTGCAAAAGGACAAGATTAAATTGATTTTGTTTGAGCCAATTCGAATAGTATAATTTTAAGCTCTATAGTCTTATTACTTAAGACCATTACAAACCAAAATAAAAAATTACTTAAGCAAATAAATATAAACTTTTCGGAATATTGAAATTTTGGTTGATATATGTAAAAAATAAATTTGTATTTTAATTAAAAAATTAGTATACCTGTCCGCGCCCCATAACTCAAAAAAGAGTTAAAAGGGGAATTAATCTTATTTGATACCCGTACTAAAAAAGTGGATGTGTGTAACGCAGAGAAGGAAACGTTTCCGACCCCATAAAGTATATATATTCTTGATCAGCATCAATAGCCGAGTCGCCTGCTGTGCGTCCGTCCTGTTGAGCGCCTGGATTTCAGAGACTATAAGAGCTAGGGCAACCAAATTTTGTTTCCAGACTCATGTGATATCACACTGCTACAAGTGTATTTCAAAATTTCGCCCCGCCACCTTCCGCCCCCACAAAGGACGAAAATCTCTGGCAGGCAAAATTTTAAAGATACGATAAAACTTAAAACGCAGTATCGTAGAGAATGACCATATCTACCAGACTGCCGAATCTGAATCAGATCGGATCATAATTATAGCGAGAATGAAGAAATTAATTTTCAGTTGCTTACCCTGCCCCCCTCCTGCAAACGACAACGCAACTCATTTTCCTTCTCGCTCGCACACTCTGCCGCGTTCAGTGCACGAGCAACCCCTAGCGGAGGAGATGTAGAATCTAATTGTACATGACAATCTACATGTTAGATGTATAATATACATTGTATATGTAGATGTAGATAACAGATGTAGCAAAAAAATGTAAAATTAAATTTTGTTTTTTAATTTTAAATTTTAAAAAATCATAAGCTTAAAATTGTATTTACTGACTGAGTACGGGTATAAGTAGAGTCGCGTCCCCAGAAGCGACTCACACGTTCCTTCTCGTTTTACTTTGTAATACATTCTATTTTTTTTTTTAGCAAAACAATAGCATACAATGTCGTTGTTAATGAATCAAAATCTGCAATCAATTAAAACTATATTTATTTACCTTTTGTTCTGACTGACAGCCATCTAAATATCCATTGAATTAATCTTATTTTTATACCCGTACTCAAAAAAGAGTTAAGGGGTATATTAGATTTGTGGTATAAGTGGATGTGTGTAACGCAGAGAAGGAAACGTTTCCGACCCCATAAAGTATATATATTCTTGATCAGCATCAATAGCCGAGTCGATATAGCCATGTCTGTCTGTCCGTCCGTCCGTCCGTCTTGTTGAGCGCCTGGATTTCAGAGACTTTAAGAGTTAGGATAACCAAATTTGGTTTCCAGACTCATGTGACATCACACTGCTACAAGTGTATTTCAAAATTTCGCCCCGCCCCCTTCCGCCCCCACAAAGGACGAAAATCTCTGGCAGGCAAAATTTTAAAGATACGATAAAACTTAAAACGCAGTGTCGTAGAGAATAACCATATCTACCAGACTGCTGAATCTGGATCAGATCGGATCATAATTATAGCCAAAATGAAGAAATTAATTTTCAGTTGCTTTTCAGTTGCCAGAGACTCATTCTCTTTCTCGCTCGCACACTCTGCCGCGTTCAGTGCGCGAGCAACCCCTAGCGGAGGAGATGTAGAATATGAATGGTACATCTATAATCTACATGTTAGATGTAAAATATACATTGCAGATGTATATGTAGATAACAGATGTAGCAAAAAATGTAAAATTCAAAATTTTTTTTGTTAATTTTAAAATTCTAAAAAATCATAAGCTTAAAAATGTATTTACTGACTGAGTACGGGTATAAGTAGAGTCACGTCCCCAGAAGCGACTCACACGTTCCTTCTCGTTTGTCATTGACTTTGTAAAGGTTTTTAAGCAATTTTAAGTAAATCAATTTTCTTTAACTATTATAAAAATTATATTTTGAGGCATAACTCGACACCATGACTTAATACTATATCAATAAGTTCTGTAAAATCATTTACTTTTAATAGCAGTTTTCATAGTATTAAGCTTTAAAGCGTGGTCATCAGATCGACAACATATTCTGCGAGCGCTAAATCTCTATACAAAGTGTAAATTGAAAGCCTCTTACAAATAATTGTATTACCCAGTGCTCATATACAAAAACAAAAAAACCAATACCGAAAACTACCAATAAAAACAGCAAACTCAGCATACTGAGGGCACCATACACGAAAGGTGCATTCTAAAAGTATATAACTGCGTACCGTTAGCACCGCTGCACACTGGTCGTAATTGTATGGATTCGAATCCCTTTTTTGACGTATTTAAAAAAGAGGGAACTTGTTAATGATCAAATAAGCGTAGTGCGACAACGTAACACACATCCCTACCTCTCATGTTTTACCTGTGGAAGAGGAACCTTTTTCTAAGATGTTTATCTAGTTTGAAACGCGTTTGCTGAAGTTTTGTAAATCCTTGTGTTTGTACTCCGCAGACTTCTCGTAGAATTGTTCAATCGACACCAGTGCAGATTTATAGCGTCTAGTAGGTGATATCTCACAGGGCACTGTCACCTTAGATATCACCTCAAGAAATTGAGAATGGTAGAAAAAGACTTCAGTAGTTTCCTTGAAACGGAGTAGGAAACATCGGAAGACATATGTAATATCTTGTGAAAACCATATACTCTATAGAAGATCTCAACATTTGGCTGCAGTGCCCCATCAAAGGATTTGGGAAATCAGACCCACCATCGTGCCTAGCATATACATTACTAATACATTACTGTAAATACTTTACTAATTTGTGTATGTGTTGCAGTGAAAAATGCCAGCAAGAAGCAAGGGGGTCCAGTTGCACCGACAAACAATTAATGCAACAAACATGCAAATTAATACAAAAGAAATAAAAGGGCGAATTCCAGAATATAACGACAATATGCGGTTGGGCATGTCGCAATTGCGCGAATCTCAACCATAAGATATACAAAATTTACGAAATCAACATAGACAATTGGAACGGAGACAAACGCGACGGCGAATAATTGTACTCTTAAAGAATATGACTGAAACGACAACAAGTACATCGAGCCCTTACATCCGTTTCGATTCTTCATTGCATTGGAGTAGAAGCCATCCGCTCATCCGAAAGTGCTGATAGTATTGTTGTATGAAGTAGGTCTTTCTAGGGCTGTCAAACGTATGCTAACTAAACAGATAATATAAATAAAAGAGTTGAATATTAGCTACGTTATCAACCAGGCGTGTATTTACTGCTTATCGGGTGCAAGTTTCATTTATTACAACAAAAAGAGCTTATGATTTATGTAGAATTGTTGGAGCAGTGCAAGGTGTGTGGATACCTGGGAGTCAGTCTAGAGTCTAGACACTCGCCTAACCATTGCCAGACATACATATTTTCTTATAGGTAAGATGAAGATAGAAATTTATCGCTGCATTTATATTATAGCCAGAAGGAACAAATTAATTTTTAGTTGTTACTAGCCATATGACATTAGACTTAGACAATTTTTCTGCGTAGAGAGGAGGGAGAGCACTAGAGACAAAATGAAACATTATTGTTCGTAAACTTCTCTAGACACGTCTAATGGCTTTTAGTAGAACAACTGAGGCACTACTTGACACACAATGATATTTTACAGCAGAACACAGACACCAAGCCATCAAATTGTATCCGCAAAGTAAAATTTTCGATAAATTCTGCCGCAGCGCTGCTCCCAGCTCAACTGGACAGCCAGCTTGACGCATATAGTTCTCTCGATCTGACTGCAGGCATTTCAAATAAGGCCATCTTTATTTTTCCAGCTAGTCAATTAGCAAAGTCCTATAACCTACCCCTGCCACAAGCTTACCCATCTAGTTTTAAATTAAATGTTAGACCTATTCGCTCGGGACACACATTTTTTGGGTTAATAAAAATTAAAAATAAACCCAGAACGATTAGTTTTCTAAGATTTTTTATACCCGTACTCAAAAAAGGATATAAAGTATAAAGCCATGTCTGTCTGTCCGTCTGTCTGTCTTGTTGAGCGCCTAGATCTCAGAGACTATAAGAGCTAGGGCAACCAAATTTGGTTTCCAGACTCATGTGATATCCCACTGCTACAAGTGTATTTCAAAATTTCGCCCCGCCCCCTTCCGCCCCCACAAAGAACGAAAATCTGTGGCAGGCACATTTTTAAAGATACGATAAAACTAAAAACGCAGTATCGTAGAGAATGCCCATATCTACCAGACAGCTGAATCTGAATCAGATCGGATCATAATTATAGCCAGAATGACGAAATTAATTTTCAGTTGCTTCTCCTGCCCCCTTCTGCCAACGACCAGCAACTCATTTTCCTTCTCGCTCGCACACTCTGCCGCGTTCAGTGCGCGAGCAACCCCTAGCGGAGCAGATGTAGAGTCTAAATGGAACATACACAAACTACATGTTAGATGTAGAATATACATAATATATGTAGATGTAGATAACAGATGTAGCAAAAAAATTTAAAATGTAAAATTTTTTTTTTTTAATGCTAAAATTCTAAAAAATCATATGTTCAAAAATGTATATACTGACTGAGTACGGGTATAAGTAGAGTCGCGTCTTTAGAAGCGACTCACACGTTCCTTCTCGTTCTAAATTAAATTCAACAAAAACCGAGTTTGGTGGCTGCAAATTTTTAATGTATATTTCGACGAAAAGAAGGGAGACTAAAAAAGGGACGTGCGCTCGAATTTAATGATATTTAACGGCTTCTTTTCTTCCATGTTATAACATCTTCTTAAGCCTAACTTATCTAGGGCGGCGAAGTGGGGCGAATTCGCCAAGAGCGAGAGAGAGCTTTCTTGCGCTCCCGCTTCGCCCTAATCTATCTTACACTAGACTTCAAAATTTATCCAAATATAAAACGTAGCGCCGTGACGCAACGCGACACCGGCCCCGTTGAAGGCTTGTGGGGCTTCAACCCATCGGCAGAAGCGCCAACTTATGGGTTGGCCTCCTCCACCCTGACCTTTCCGTCCTGTCCGGCGTTGGTTGCGACGACCCTTCCGAGGAGTCACTGTTGTTGCGGAAGGTTGTCCTCCGCGACGATGACGAGGTCGCCTTCCTCGACGTTGGGCTGCTCCTGGTGCCACTTGCATCGCTCATGTGCGGAGCCCGAGGTGGCAGGAAGGCGGGAGTCGAGGCTTGCATTCAAAGCAGCGAATGCACGACCTGACCATCGCCCTGCAGACCTCCTGAGCGTTTACTATCAAAACACGCTGGGTCAAGGAGGATGCCACAAGTGCTTGTGGGCCGACATGAAAATTCGTTTGATGCAGATAGCGAACATAGGTCTGCACAAACTGCGAGCGTTTTGTCAACAACAGCTAGCGGAAACTTGGCATTGTCTATGTGATATCAACGCTAACTGTATTCATTCCCGCCCCCCCACTCGCAAAAGACCAAAAAATGAGCACCAAGCCCACTTTTCTTCATTGATAAAAGGGATCGCTAAAGACTGGGGCCTAACCTGTTGCCTCTAGAACCCTTTCGATATCTATCCAAATGATACTCGTTTTCCCTCCGGACGCCCTAGCTCGACAATTTTGTGAAAAGCCTCATCGTATTACTACGTTAGAGTAGACGGAGTGACTTCAAATTTAAGATTTTTTTCTTTGCATTTTCGGATGAAGCGGAACACGTAAACGAACATACGTCTTGAGCGGCGCTACTTTCGACTTTGCAGTCAACAACGAGACCTTGAAACCTTCTGCAGTCTTACTACGGATACAGGTGTATGCTCCATAAGCTCTCATGGAGGCGAAGGCATGTATTTGAATCGGTGACATGGGATCAGTATGCACAAAGCGAGGTATGGCAATCTTCTCCAGCTGACCCAAGGATTCTTTTAGAAAGTTCCAAGCTGTTTCCAGATTCATTGGAATTGACTCATCCCAATCTAGTTTGTTAATGCACAGCTCCTGCATTAGGATCTTTCCCTTGATTACCAAGGGGCTTAACAAACCAAGGGGTTCAAACAGCTTTGATGTCACCGATAATATGTTCCGTTTTGTGGGTCGGAGACCCATGACAGAACTGTCAATTTGAAACCGAAAGACGTTTTCGTGCGGTAGCCACGATATTCCTAATGCCTTGGTTGACTCGGATTCCGGTGCTCTAGGATGCTGTGACCTCAGGTGAGTTCGAGAATCACTTTGTTAGCTCAAACCCTGCGGTTTGAAGAACCTGTGCCACGTCAGACTTAATTGTCTTTAACTCCTCCACGCAACCAGCACCAGTCAACATATCATCGACATAAAAGTCAGACCCGATAACTTTAGCAGCCTTTGGGAATGAGAGCTTTGCAGACTGAATAGCCAAAAATGGGGCAGGTCCAGTCCCATATGTTACAGTGTTAAGCTGGTATATTCTTAAGGACTCAGATGGGTCTCTTCTCCATACTATCAACTGAAACTGCCTATCCGCTTCATTCACCATTACTTGGCGATACATCTTTTTTACATCGGCAGAATGTCATTACATCAGAATGTCATTCAAGGCCACCTGAGAGGACGTTTTCGAAGACGCAACGAACACGACGCGAAGCTTGGTGAACGTACTTTGGGGCCGAAGGACACACTGATGTGGAATTACGTAGTGTGGAGCAGAAGGAACAGTATTGTCAGTCGGCGACATATGACCTAAGGAGAGGTACTCTTCCATGAATTCCAAGTACATTTACTTACTTCAAACCGACATGAAAGCAAGATTTGAGTAGTCTTTCTATAATGCTCCTCACATAACTTGTATTCAGGAGATAAAGACTTTTTAGAAGATGTCAATTCTTCTAGTGACCAAAACTTTTGTAGTGTATTGTCGATAGCCATAACTGACTCTTCTCGACAACTCAGACAGTTCCTCGCTTCATGGGTGACAGTCACCTTTTGACTGTATCTTCCAGACACAATTTAACCGAGAAGCGTTTTCCTACAAAGTGGTGGCATTCGCGGACGACGTTGCCATCATCTCTCGGGAAAATTCCCTCAAAGACTTTTCGATCTAATGACCGCAAAGCTCGCGCGACTGTCAGAATGGACAAAGTCACGCGGAGTGGGAATTAAAACGGAACTTGTGTTGATCACAACCAAATACAAAGTCCCGCCTCTCAACCCTCCAATACTAAACGGATGCAGGCTCTCCTTCAGCGACGTTGCCTGTTATTAAGGGTTGGTAATTGACAAGAAGCTTAGCTGGAACCTGAACATCAAAGATAGAGGGAAGAAGGCCGCGATACCCCTCTACACTTGCAAAAAGGCCATTGGATTGAAGTGGGGCATGAACCCAAGCATAGTCCAATGGATGTACCTAGCAATAGTTAGACCAATACTACTCTACGGGGTCGCAGTGTGGTCACTAAAAAACTGGGCAAGGTACAACGTACTTCCGGCCTAAGCATCACATACTCTACACACCACACCAAATGACGCGCTAAATGCTATCTCGTCTGAGAGACTACGACCAATGGGTGTCACAGCACATCGATCAAGCATCCATCTTAAATGGAAACAATATCGTCCCCACAAAAGGATCGCAGAAGGATCGCAAACTTTATAAGGGCATCCGGATGGGACAATTGCTGACATAGTGTCTCACAAGGGAAGAGGACAGCGATCCCGACAACCTCCTTAACCTAACATAACCTACGTCAAAACTTTCCTATCCAGATATCACAACAGGATACAAATAAAAGTGTATTTATATATATTATTCCATAAACATTTTAACTAAAAAGGGATGTCATATGTTGAACAAAATCTGTGTCCAAGGCATTGCATTGTATCCATTAAAGTTAAAGAATAAAGTCATTTGTCCAAAGAGGTAGCGACACCTTTGTAGGCCAACTCTTTACTGCAAATATTTGGAAGTAATTTAACCAAGACGGAATGTATTTCATGAACAAAAACAATTGTATTACATGTGCATACTGTATATCTGTGGTGTTTAGTGTAAAGATTACAACATATGACCCAAATTATACTTCAACGACATCACGTAAGGGAATATTATACAATTATACAATAATTAAGGGTTTAACAAATATCTTCAACTGAACATTTCAATACTATTTTTTAGTGCATCTTTGATGAATACACCAGTACATTATAAATCGACAACTGACTACAAGAACCAGCTGGAAATCTAAAATTGAAATAATTAATTGGCAGTTACTCTGCTATTCATGTAGAATTGTTGCGCAGAGAGCAACAATGTTAACACGTAAATGCATGCTGCGATCCAGCAGTTGTAGGCGTTCTGAAAAATAAAGAAATACCTGTTACTACAACAACAAAAAACAACTGGTTGCACCGAAATATTTTTGTGCGTTATGTACATACATACGTACATGCATATGTACGACACTCAAAAAAATCGTTCAAGGCTATGTAAATACATATGTGTGTATGTGTGTAATACACACTGTGTATATAACGCTCTGGTCATGTTAAAGTCAAGCAGACCATTTTATCCCGTGATATAAACTAACCTGATTGTACGCTCTATTCGCAGCTGCATAAAATTCATCCAGAGTATGGAACTCCTCTCCTAAGGGCAAATCCTCAATAAGGGCCACACTATTGATATAGAAAAAGAGCCCCATCAGTACCTAAAAGAGAAGTAATTTTAATATTTATTAGATTAAAAATATCATGAGACTAAAAACTGAAACCTTGTGACTTTCAAGTGTGACAACAACCACATACATTAATCAGCTAGAGAACCAACGTACTCACCAGTTGAACAATTCCCCAAACGGAGATAATCAAACCACAAAGGGATAATTTTGGACCACAGATTTTCATTTTGCCGTCTTTTGGTACGTTATTTTTGCCAAAGTTCAGAATTTTCTCATCAAATACAGAAACTGGTCAGGTGAATATCATGTGACCTAATTTCGGTGTGACCGTACGTAAAAAAATGTAAAATACTGTTGGTTATACTTTTGGTATATTTTTTAAGCAGTATTATTAATTAAAGGTGATTTCACTAACCCACTAACCATACAGTATATAGATGTGCCAGTTTTTTATTTGTATTTATTTCATGCTTTATCCTAACCACTAACCATACAGTATATAAATGTGCCAGTTCATACAACGAAAGGGGCGCAGCTGAGTTTGCAGCGTACGTTCCCAGGTCTTCGGTTCTGGGGCCGACCGCGTTCAACTCTGGGAATGACCGGTTTTTTTTCAAATGAAAAAAGAAGGATCCGGCCCTGAATAGGTCGATTTTGGTTTTAAACTTTAAAAGTTAAAGTTGTTATTTGTTTGTACTGTGTGCATTTACATTGGGGACTCAGGCGAAAAGAGGTGGCAAAATTAAAAAATATTTTATGAACGCTTTGAATAAAATAAATGTACACATAGAGTAGAACATTTTCCAGAGCTTTAGCGAATCTAATTTTCAAGATAATATTAGTTTAGGAGATATGAGCAGAGATAACATCCTTTAGTTTTATATATTGTATTTGTTTCCCACCCCCACCCACTCTGCCCATTCCTCATTTATGTTGCGGCATGTCAGCTCAGGTCGCTACATCACATCAGCCCTCAAAACAAAACGAAAAACCAATTCAAACGGCCAAAAATTGTAGAGCCCACACACAAGCACAGTATGTGTGAATACATGGCACACACACATTTACGTAAACTGAAATCTCAAGCAAAGTCGGTTTCGGCAGCTAAAAATTATTGTATGCATACAATCACTAACCATACAGTACTGTATGGTTAGTGATACAATCATATATTTTTGAGTGTTACACGTACACAATACATTCATGCTTGCTGTCCGTCGGCTCGTGTCACGTCATGAGCCGAACGCGGTCGGCCCCAGAGCCGAAGACCTGGGAACGTAATCTGCAAACTCAGCTGCGCCCCTTTCGTTGTATGAACTGGCACATTTATATATGGTAGTGTCCTAACGCTACAGGTATAAACTTATTTTTATTGCGCTAGTCACTCGGCGAATATGTATATGTATAGATCATTTTGGATGTTATCTACTTTAATCGAATACTTATACATTGAAATGTTGTTTTGTTTTAAATTTTTTATATTTTTTTTATATTGATGAGTCTATTTAGTCTAGTTTCCTAAATTTTCTTTGATGATAATATGAAATTGAGTTGCGCTCTTAATGGATTTCAGTTCATACACCGAATGTGTCGCAGCTGAGTTTTCCGACGTTCGGGTGTGGACCTGAGACGTTCGGCATTTTTTCGACATGTTTGATTCATGACGAAATACGAAAGCAAGCCGAGAATTGCAAATGTACATATGTGTGTACACAGGCACGACAAAATATTTATCAATCCTTATTTTCCGAAAGCGTTTTGAGTTTGTTTTGTGTTTCGTTTCCAGGTTACGTAAATGTGTGTGTGCCATGTGTGGGCTCTACAATTTTTGAATGCTTGAACTGAATTTCGGTTTTTCGTTTTGTTTTGAAGGGTTGCAAGACTTTTCCGTTTTCAAAACAGCAACAAATTCCTCACCGAAATGAGAAGTAAACGGCTTTTTATAGCCTTTTCCCACACAGCACATCCATGAGGAACGGTGGGAATTTTTGACAGATGTGAAACTCCGATTCCCACCATCCATGAAAAATAGCCAATGCACACATTTTGGTGAGGCGGAAAATTTTTTTCTTATATAATTTAAATGAATATTAATAATGTCGCAATGGTTGTGAATTGGATTCAGCACCAAAATATATTCTTGCACAATCTAATCATGTTGCTGGACATGGATGATGATAATAATGTGGTCAACATTGACGAGGAAAATTGATTGAAATGGATCTAAGTTTTGAAAACACTGAAGCGTGGTCATGTGTGACTGCTTCTACTAAATCCAATCAATGTTTTAAATACAAATATATATTCTAAGTTTTTGGAGAAGTGGTTTTGGGACATTTTGTTAGAAAGATGTACCCGAAAACAACGAGGCGTTTTTTAAGGAAAGTTTTGTATAGCCATAGCATTGTATACTTTGGGTTCTTTTTCTGAGTACAGAACAGTCGGAGGCTGTCAGCAAACAGCGTGTGCAATATACTGCATGAGTTTTGCAGAGCATTCATAAAAGAATTCCCAGTCCACAAGCTGCGTTTTTCTGCCTGAATTGACATATTAGATGTTTTGTTGTTGTTTTACCATTTTCCTGTCTGTCATTGTTAACATTTTCGTAGTGAATTCCGATTTTTTGTTGTGAATGTCAAATATTTATGGTTGCATTTGACAATTATCGAAAAATACCGCACAAAAACGTGCGAATTAGGAACATCCCGATGGATGGTGGAATAACTGGGATATTTTCAGAATGGCAAAACCTTACGGACCATCCCCGAAATTGATGGTGGATGGTGGCTATATTAAAATATTCGATTGCCTATGCACTTAACAGCACATTTTTGCACTTTCTGCCTATCTCCGCAACTATCACCACTAATAACAACAAAAACTTGTTGATCAAAAATCAAATTTTGGCTCAAAAATGTTATGGTTGTGCGAAATGTAAAAAATATACATAAAATCATTAAATAAAATACTTTTAGTTGATTTTATTATTATCATACGATTTTTTACCCCTGGGGCCATTCTGATGGAGAAGAAATTCTATGGTTTTCATTGTTTGAAAAAGAACTCCCACAAACTCTACAAAATAATGTCTGAAAATAATAAATAAATATGAGAATCTCTTCTTTTTCGTCCATTTTCTTGCCGTCTTGCATAATTCTGCTGATTTCCCAAAATTTGGTTACTTTCCTTTTCATCAAGCACCCAAATTAGCTGTTCTCACGCAACAAGCTGCGTCTGCCAATATGAATGCCTTTTCTGCTTCATTGCGATTATTCCGATATCGATAGGAATCGCGACCAGTGTGAAAAGCCTATTTTACTGTATGGCACACCCAAACATCGATAACATCGATGTTTCACCAGCCCTAACACTTACGGACGCAGATGCGAGGACAGTGTCCATTTAATATTATTTATTTGACTCTAAACGAGACGCTATGCCAATTTCAAAAATATATCATGAAAAGCAAACCAAGCAATTATGTGCACTCCACGCTCTCAACAATCTTTTCCAAGGTTAGTTAGTTAGATTTTTGAAAGACCATTCTGATATATGTATGTACACATGCAACTACATAATATTATTGCCAGAACATATTTACAAGAAGGAAGAACTGGATAATATCTGCAGTAACTTAAGTCCGAACGTGTGGATAAATCCTCATCGATCCATTCTTGGACTCGGAAATTATGATGTCAATGTTATTATGACCGCCTTAGAGCTACGAAATTGTGAGGCCTTTTGGTTTGATAAACGAAAAGACCCATCTGATATTGACTTGGAAAAAATTGTGGGTTTTATACTCAACATTCCATCAGAGTACAAAATCGGGGCCATATTATTACCATTGCGAAGGAGACACTGGATAGCAGTACGTCGCATAGGACATAACTACTATAATCTGGACTCGAAACTTCGACAGCCTGAATTGTTGGGCGACGTCCTCCAGTTTTTGCGCGGACAGCTTAAGGAAAAGGAAGAGCAACGTGAACTTTTTATTGTAAGTTATCGCAGCGACGACTGTAATGAACCACCCCAGCGATGCATGAAAGAATCACACGAGATAGATAAAACAACAGATTCAACATGATCATTTAAAACTAAGATCTTTCCAGTCGACGAAGTGAAGTTAAGCAGCCTTACAGGCCGTGTGTGTAAATTGTAAAAAGTTGTATGTTTTTGGTTAGGAATTAATGACTGGATAAAATATTAGTACAGTGTAACGAAAATGCTAATCCAGAAAGCCGAATATACTGGGTATTGTCAATCGGAGCCCAGAATCTGTTCAGAATAGTCAACATAAATATATTATTATAATTATAATTAAACGTAACTATACATTTATAAAATGAATTAATTTATGTAAAAAAAAATCTAAGTTACGGTTTTCCAAGCAGCATAATAGAAATTGAGAGCCACATATTTCTCTATCTTGATAAACTAAATATTATGATACATAATGAAAAAGGTAATGAACTCAAAATAAAAACATTACGCTTAAAATGTTTGTATAATTTATTTCAAGTTTTTTTAAAATAGTGGTAGTAAAATTGCAATAAGCATTAATGGACGGATAATGGATATGTTTCAATTATGTATGATTACATCTAGCGACAATTTAATTGCTGGAATGAATCGAGCTAAAATATTAATCGTGACACATTACTAAAAATTGATAGGTATGTTTAGATAAGTTGAGTTGATTTTAACAGTTATATATCTGTTTGGATTCCTCCGGGTGGCGGGGTGTTTGGGGTACGTCCTGGCTGAGGACGACGTGGACGGCTTGGCTCCGGTGCAAAGTAAGATTGAGACGGTGATGGAGCAGTGGGTGTCGTCGCGACGTTTGCCTGGTGCTGATAGTAGTCATCTCCGTATTCGCTAACTTCTCGATTACTTATTTCGTTGAGGCGCTTGTAGCGCTCGCGACGTGCTTCAATCATGTAAAGTATTCCTCCAGGTAACAACAACACAGCTCCAACCACGCCCAACGCAAAAGACCAGCCCATGTCGTTGTTCTGCCACCCAGGCATCCAGTCACGAGAGTCTCCTTTGGCACCAAAAATGACCACGGCAATGAATCCGAATATCGAGCCCAACACTTGGCAAGTTCCAATGGTCAGTAGCAACACAACGTATCGATCATCGTCGCGAGAAGTCCGCAAGAACGCCAGTGTAAGAGGCAGGCCAATAAGACACATGACGAAGCATAGCGTTGCAAATAGCTGCACCGCTATATAGAAACCCGGTAGTAGAAAATCATGTATGATGTAATATTCCTCTTCAAAGACCCACATGCATCCGTTGAAAGGGTTGTCGTAGAAACGGTGAATATCCTGAAAATCGTTGAAGCAAACTTCCCAAAGTCCCAGGTTGGTAAAGCGTGGGTTTTCTAAACGCCCATCTGTAACCAACCAATAGGGTGTTGAAAACGCTATGATAAATAGCAGAAATGAAATCGCGGAAATGGAAAGCGCCACTTGCGTACTGCGGTTCGACGCCCCCATTTTTTTTATCACGGATATTTGTTGTTTGACTTAGTTTAAACAAACAACGAAAAACACCCAACAAAAAAACTTTGCGTCACAAACACATCACACGCCCTGTAGTGTAACCGTTCAAATAAAATATACCACTTATCAAAATACTATGAATTAAATTATATACCGAAGCAGTATTTTTCTACATAATTATATAAAAATAAGGCGGGAGAGACCCACCATTTCGTATGATCCTCAGATACATATGAATATTTGGGGTGGACAAAACAGCTGTTTTTTTAATTTTTACAATAATTTGACACAAATTGACACGAAATTTTTCAAAAACAAAAATTTAGATATTAACTAAATTAAAAATTTATATACAGACAGGATCCGTTTTTCACTTCTGCAAGAAATTTTCGATGTACTATTGAAAACGGAAGGTAAGGCATTTTAAGACGACAACATATTTCTCGCCGAAATATTGATAAATCTCCGTTAAACATAACAGAGGACTTTTTACATGGCACTACTGGCACTAACGCATGGGTATAACATCAGTAAATTTTTCGCTTTAGAGTACAGGAGTAAATAAACCACACTTTTGGAGCTCGTTAAAATGAAAAGTATGACTTTTGGCTGAAAAAGTAAGAGTGCAAAAGGAGCCTGCCAGATAGTCTATATTCCGCCGCGGAAAAAGCGGCACATTTAAAATGGAGGGAAGTAATCGAACAAGCCGGCTAGAAAAATGAAATAATGAAGTCAAATAATGAAGGCATGACGGATGACAATATGAAAATTATAACCTATTCATTTTTTAATTTACATGAATACAAGAAATCATTTTGATTGTTCCACCTCTGCCACAACAAATAGCGACCTCAGCTTGAGAAGTCCCTTTCATTAACTTTGTTTACTCTAAAAAAAATTGAAAGAAAAACACTAACTGATTGGCCGACCATGTTTGGTAGACAAAAATTTTTCTGATCTGAGTACTATGCTCTGGTCTCAAACAGGTCTCAAATCTTACATGACTACCCTTTATTTTTTTATGTGTTACTTGAACTGCGGTATTTTTTCGTTCAAAATACCAAATCTATGAGATGTCGTCTTATCGTTGCCACTTCGAGAAAATATTAATTTGTTTGTGTGTTGTGTTCGTTCTGCGTCCCTTTGTTTTGTACTCTAAAAAGTTGTTTGTACATACGAATACAATTGGGAAAAATGCGTGGTTTTTGCATTTAAACCAACTTATATTTCTCAATGACTGCAGAAAATTTGAGAAAAATTTTTTCATTTAATTCGGGCTACTTAGATTATACTGGTCTGAACGTTCGCACGCCGACATCAACCTCGTCAATATGGCTTCCGCTTCCGAAATTGAAAAAACATTGGTCGTAAACATTGGAAACTTTGAGAGAATCCAAAATTTTCTGAACGACAAGGAAAGGTATAAGGAGATACTGGAAAATAGCGAGAACTTCAACACGCGACTTTGTATCGAAAGACGGCTTCGAATGCCATTTCTTGACCCCCAGACCGGTGTTGCGCAGACACACTGTGCACTCTTCATGAAAAAGAAACAGCGTATGCCAGGATTCCGCCATGGACAGATTTATACGTACCCATCAACTCGTTGGCGTAAGCCGAAACGACAGTATTTACTTAACCCAAATCATAGCTACCGTGCCTATCAGTACCGCGAGCACCATATTTCCCACTCCCACCACCAACAGCATCACCATCACCATGTACCAACATGTACAGTCAGTGTACGTGACCATCATCAAACAGAAAGTGCGGGTAAGGGACTATATTAAGTCGTTTGAAAATTTCATAAAAATGTTGCTCAGACTTTAAAAATCAGATCACTTTTGGGTTGGTTGAATATTAAATAAACACATGTCATTTTTTGCATTAGTGAAAGTGAATTATTATATTATATGTACTTTGTGCTCGTGTGGGCATGATATGATGTCAAACCCCGTTACGATTATCATATTTGTATTTCAGCTATTGCTGCTACAGACGGAAATTCTATGGGTGCGTCTGGAGACAATGATAGCAAGGATTCACATGCAAATGTCGAAAAGGAGTGGTTCCACGACGAGATAGACTCCTCCCACTATCATCATGGCGGCGACGACTATGAAGATGACTTTGATTCGGATAACGATTTTGATGAATCTTACAGTAATAGGGGGAAACGCAAGCGAAGCTCACGGCCTCGGCGGTCCAATGCGACTGTAGAAGGTACACCTAAACGTGGTCGCAAGGGCGGTGGTAAGTAACCAAATTCATGAGCTTGGACTATACGATCGCTGAAGCTACTTGTTGTTGTAGGCAATCGTCGTAAAAACACTGCTGATGGGGAAACTGATCGGAGACGTCGAGGCGGCGGAAACAGTGGAAACACATCTGCAGCTGCAGCAGCTGCTGCTGCAGCAGTTGCCCACGCAGCTAATACGGCAGCAGCTGCAGCCACAGGACTCTATGCATCGCACTCAAACTCAGCGTCTCCCATTCCGACTAACGATGAAACCTCCCAATCGGCTCTGGTAATGCCGACCAACATTGCTTCATCCTACGACAAGACTTTAAGTGATGCAGGAGCATCCAATGACTCGATCCCCTTGGCAACCATGGCTGGAATTGCAGGGATGGGCATAGCCGCAACATCCAACGTCTCTGCTGGACCTCCTATATATGCTGCGGTTAACCCACCAGTAGCAGCAGCAGCAGCATCGGCTGGGGCGTCGGTCGCTAGTCCGAAAAAGCTCAAACAACGTGTTGAAAGAGAAGTGGCGCAACCATCTCCGTACTGTGACTTTTGCTTGGGCGATCAGCGCGAAAACAAAAAAACTAGCATGCCAGAGGAGCTCGTTTCCTGTTCCGACTGTGGTCGTTCTGGTCATCCATCGTGCTTACAGTTCACAGCAAATATGATTATATCAGTTAAACGGTATCGCTGGCAATGCATAGAATGCAAGTATTGCTCTATTTGTGGGACCTCTGATAACGACGATCAGCTTTTATTCTGCGACGATTGTGATCGCGGATATCACATGTATTGCCTATCACCACCTCTTGTTACTCCACCAGAAGGATCTTGGAGCTGCAAGCTTTGCATGGAAGAATTTCACAAGCACAAATAAACAACTAACATTACAGATTCCAAACATGTATGAAATAATGCAAATGCTCATAATTTTCGAAAAATTCAAAAATGCGAGTCCTCATTCATTTAGTCGCGTCCTACATATTTAAGTCAGGATTTCAATTTAGTTAATATTTTAGGTATGTATTTTTTTCGTAAGTTTGTTTTACCTTCTTGTGTCACTTTTTGTTTGTACAACTAACTATGCCTAAGCGAAGTCGACAAGTATTTTTCTAAGTATTCTCCGCAGCTTTGAACATTTGTATGTCCATTTATGTCTATAATTTCTTTTTGATCAAAAAGGTATGCATATTTACAAGAAATAGTATAGAGTTCCATTTTTTACATAATCAATAAATTATGCAATTCATTAGGCATATACACATATAAAGTTTCCCATACTTCTTAATAGTAACAGTTTTGTTGAGAATTCATAAAATCGTTTATAATTTATTGAGATCTGAGATGGAAACTTTTCAAGGTAAGTACTATGCACGAGGCTAATATTAGTTTGTAGGCTTGCTCACACTTAGAATTAGCAATGCAACCCCAGAATCGTATATAAAAATAAAAAAACCACAATTTAAAGGCTTTGCTTACATTCATAGTTTCCACACGACAGTTGCAGAGAGGAGACCCATAAAAATGAATGGTTTGACTGCCGCCTCTTCGGAAAAAGCTACAGATTCTTATCGCGCAGTGTCGGTACACTTCCACTGTCTACTGTAAGAGGGCTTACCCATAGCACTCGTCCGAATGGACGATATAGGTACATAGGACGGTGGATGTGACGATACTGGCTATGAGTCGCCGCTATACTGCTTTGGGCTCCGAGTGTTTGCCAACAGTAGTATTATTGTCGCTTGTGCTTTTTCTGCGTTGGTACCGACAGACTCCAGGGAACGTCTAGAACGTGATCTGCCAGGGCAACCTTGAAGTAGCTTTGTATTAGCTTGACAAGTACTACAAGTACTTTGAGCACTTCTTCCGTGTTGTTCATGTTCTCACCTTTGCGATCTCCGCCCTGTGCCGGCGATCGCCATGGATGCCTCGTATGCCATTCTTGCAGACTATAGCGGCCGGTCTTCGCACTGATATTAGCACCGCCCCATGTGTACATACATATGTACATACATATCAGAGAACAACTAGAACTTCGAATACTTACGGATTCTGACAGCTAGTATTAACGACTGAAATATTACTCTGTTAGCCTGGTTATTTCTGGAACGTTTTGCAGTTCAATGCTAATTGTTAAAGAAAGTTCATATGTATGTTGACTTGAAATATCTTTCTGATGAGTGCTGTCAGTTATTGTGCTGTCAGCGAAATGAATAGGAGTGTGTGGTCTTCAGTCTTACCAATATGTCTTATTTTAACTTTAAAAACCAAAAATATTGATATGCATATGCGAGCTAAGCGCTTCCTTATATTCCCAAGGCAAGCTCCAACTAGACATCAGGTACTGTACATTAAAGACTTAACTTTAAGCATACATATTTTGATCCAATAGTTTTAGTTCATTGCTGGAATAGGTATACCAGCTAATCTCGATTATGAATCGCTCACCGTGGGCTACGTGTTAAAAGCCGAGTTTCATCTACCCTATAATGCTACGGTTTTTCGCCAGAACCCCTTTTTGCCCGAATACAACCACAATACGTTACTAAACGCTGCAAAAGAAAGGAAAATGTACGAGAAGCCCACGCGACTGCGCTGGCATATATACGCTTTTATTGAGTATTTACTTAACGGGTATGTTGTAGTCATTGTATGCATTTTTTTTGCAAAAGAAATTATTAAATTTAAACCTTATTATTATTAAAGTTACGGGTACAATGGGCACGAGTGCCTTTTGCAAGCCATCTGTGAGGCCAACAGAATTAGATTTTCCAAGGACTTTAGTGTTGGAGCTGAGCTAATTCACTTAGTTCTAAGGTTCGTTTTAATTAACTAGCTATATTGATTCTTTAATATTGAAAATTATATTTATTCTTACAGTCCCACATCTACTTTGAACTCTAAAATGGATACAGCACATGATTTCATATTTGCGGAGAAAGCAGAATCCTTGAACGACTGTTGGCGGTATGACTGCAATATAAATCTGATAAAATGGTTTTCGCATGTCGTTAACTTGAAAATCTAAGCTCGCTTTAATATGTCAAAAACTAATGTAATTATACGTAACATTCAGAAGTAAAAAAGGAAAAAAAGTTCACTTATGTACTTCGTACGAGTGGGTGGAATGATTTAAAACTTGTTCATTAATGAATTACAGGAAGGAAATACGCAGGGTACAAAGAAACTCGTGGAGAAACTGCTTTTTCAATATCGAGAAAGTCCCAGAAACGGCTGGACTCCGGAAGTTGCTATCAAAGCAACTAACCATACAGAGTCAGCTGAAGCGAAACGATGGACAGTGGGCTGAGGGCAGTGAAGAAGCCCTAACAGCACTAATGGAAGCTCACTTCCCAGGATGTACCGAGGTTGCTGACGCTACAGCGCATCAGGTCCTAGCAACTGAGGAACAGCATCCTCCAACTGATCTCATATCTTCTAAGAGAATCCACTGGGCTATAGACTCTTTTGCGGGTATAAAAGTACCTGAACGAGACGTTATATTTCCAGCCATGCTACAGGTTACCAAAGTCGTGATATATATAATCAGCCTGCCTGAGTACAGGCAATATCCGTATCCAATGGAGGACCTCGCGGATTGTCTTCCTTCCTAAGGCAGGAAAGTGCAGCCATATTAGCATCAAGGATTATAGATTGATAAGACTCAAGACACTAGAAAATCTGCTGGAATTATGTAGGGAGAATGATGTCAACCAGCCAGCTTGCCTATACCAAAGGGAAATCAGTGGAGACGGAACTGCATTAGCTAGCAGCCACCATAGAGAGAGCCCTTCATAATAAAAGGTATGCATTAGGAGTGTTTGTAGACATGTCTGGAGCCTGTTTCCCTTAGAACACTACAAAGCGATTTAGGAAAACGGGCCGACACACAGGCACCACCACCTGCAAAACCTCGAATACCAGGTGTAAGGAGCGCAACTACCTGCACCTACCTAGTAAGGACTGCAGAATGTTTGTGTGAATATACACAGGCCTAAACATACTCGAGAAGGTTCATACACCCCTATCCGGACAACTAAGGGCCATATTGGCATATGCGTGGCCCCGTGAGGAACCTCCGATTTTTATTGCAAAAATTAATACTTAATACTTAGAGAAATCCAATTACGATCCAATTGTAAAACTATAGAATGCGTTTGTTGCAGGCTCTATTTCATGAAATTCACCGAGGAGATCCTCTGCAGACCAGAGTACTCAATGTGTCGTAGGTAAAATCGAGATTAAAAAGCCTACCCATATTATTTACCTGACCCAACAATTTATCGGACAAAATAGATTGGAACATCAGGTAAGAGCAGAGGCCGGCAGCGTCGTATGCACTTTGCATAGGAAAAAATTTCGGGCAGCGCAGTCGGCACACGTACAGCGTAAAGACTTCGTGTGGTTTCGTTATTCTGCCTGATGACGTAGCGGCAGAGAAAATTCTGCTCTGCTGACGAAACATTCTTCGGGCTATGCACAAACGGCTTCATATTCTGCTCGCTTGCCTCAGCGGCAGAGCATTCGTGTGCCCTATGCACAATTCTTCGGCTTTCGCAGCGGCAGAGAAATAAGTAACGTATTTGACTTCGTGACTGTTGTTTTCGCACACAAATGCACCAAAAAATGTGTGAGTCTGTGTGCCGACCCCTGGGTTAGAGTCCTTCAGTAGGAGACCAAGAAATATTTGTTAGGATAAAATCACCTAGGACAATAATTGCATAGAGCTTATAGCAACGCAGTCTTCGAAAATTTTTACGTCTTGTTTTTTAAACGCTCGTCTGTGTGTACTATTTTCACACATTTCGTGATGTTTACACTAATTTATTCGTACAGAATCAAATTTTCATAAAAAATTGTATTTTATAATAGTACCTATATGTAACTTAACTCGTGGTCTAGTTTTACAGCGTCATATGCGTACAGAAGCGTTTTAAAACTAGTTTCCAAGTTATTTTGGAAGGAATTTATTAGTTATTGACAAGTCCTTTCCATCGTAGTTAATTCCTTCGTAGAAAAACTTTCGATTAGCTCGGCAGGTAGGACCGCACCTGGTAGAACCACAGCTTGGACATTCGTACCAGCATCCATCACACTCTTCGCTCATGCAGTCGCAAATATCTAATCCACTGTAGCGAACAATTCCATACTCATCATAGGCAGAATTTTTCCCGTAATGTTGACCCCTTTTTTTTCCTTTTCGCTTGTTCTTCTCGGATTCAATAGCAACATTATCGTCATTAGAATCGCCTTTCTTCGTTTGTCTTTGCCGCAAGTTACGGCGGGTGGAATATTCACGGTCAATATCTGAACTCATCGTTTCCAAATTCCACCGGGAACCAAAATACACCATACACCAGCAGCAGCAGTCAATAAATAATCGCAGAAAAAAATAATCAATACAATAATGCAAAAAAAGTCTAGGTATTCCTGAAATCAATTTTGATTTGCTTTGGATGTAGCGGCCTATAATAGGCTCTGCACACTGAGCCCATCCCGGGTGACCGGTGGAAAATTTTTCAAAGATGTGAAACACCGATTCAACATCCACCATTCATGAAAAACAGCTAAATAAGCATAATAGCCTTTTTACACTGGGCGCGTTTGCTATCGATATCGGAATAAATGCAATGAAGCAGAAAAGGTGCTTACATAGGCAGACGTGCGTCTTGAGTTTTGATTTGGGTGCTTGATAACAAGGAAAGTAAACAAATTTTGAGAAATCAACAGAATTATGCAAGACGACAAGAAAATGGACGAAAGAGAATTGATTCTTATATTTATTTATTATTTTCAGACATTTTTTTGTAGAGCTTGTGGGAGTTCTTCTTAAAATTATGAAAACCTCCAGCAGTGTCTTAATGGCATCAGGGGGTCACAAAAATGTCGTATGATAATAATACAATCAGTTTCTAGTATTTTATTTAATGATTTTATGTATATTTTCACCTTTGTGCACAACCATACATTTTTAGCGCTAACATTTTATTTTTTATCTACAAGTTTTTCTTGTCATTAGTGGAGATAGTTCAGCTGATAGGCAGAAAAGTGCAAAAATGTGCTGTTAAGCGGAAAAGCAATCGAATATATAGAATGACGCACATGAATCAGAGACCGACGCAACTTTTTTCTACCACTAGGGCCCTGCGCTTAACCTATGTAATAAAAGCTGCGTCTCCGGTAAGAAGCATGACGCAGCCCCAATGTAAACAGCCTATAAAATAACTAAGATATGTGCGGAAAATGTTATTGTTTATTAAGAAAGAATGGATAATAGTTTGGCAATTGTGTTGACTGTCGTTCAACAGCAACATCAAATTATTTTGCTAAAGTTAATAATGTTGTTACAAATGAATTAGTGAGTCAACAAATTAATGAATTCGACGAGGCCTGGCGTAGATATGAACATGAAGGATATTTTCGATTCCAGCCGCTATCATGGACGGAGCCATCTCCATATAAACATGGGATTTCTCTCTCGAAGTCCCTCCAAACCCTCAACATGGATTTAGACGAAACAACGTTAAAAGACAAACAAAGAACAGATGGTATCAATTTATACTACTTGTGATTGGCAGCGCTTGCTGTGGCAGAGGAGGCAAAATCAAAATGTTCGTTTTATAGTCATAAAAATTAATAAATTATAATATCCATATAATTTTCCTTCCTTGCCTTGCCTACATTACCCTACCTTTGTTACTTAATTATTTAATTTGGTTTTTTAGTGTCCTTTTCAAAATGTTTACGTGTGTTTTTGCTATGGTACCTGGCGGAAAATTCAACATTTATATCTGTTTCGAGCGGCTAGCAAAATACCTACTAATACCAGCAAATACCATCGGCTGCTTTTCTAGTATCTATTTTCTATCTTAAAATGTTCATTGAACTGAGTGCCGGACTGTGAACTAACACCTGCACATATTGGCCATATGACATAAGACTTAGACAATTTGGCTGCATATAGAGGGATTGCATGAGAGACAAAATGCAGCAATATTGTTTGTAGCCGTCTCTACACACGTCTTATGGCTTTCAGTCGAACAACTGAGGCACTACGTGATACAAAATGATGTTTTCCAGCTAAACACAGTCACCAAGTCAGAAAATTTTTATCCGCAGAGTAAAATTTTCGATAAATTCTGCCGTAGCGCTGCACCCAGCTCAACTGGACAGCCAGCTTGACGCATATAGTTCTCTGTCATATGGATATGTACAACGTTGGGTTTTAAATTTCTTTGGGTCATTCGCTGTAAAAAAAAAAAAATATAAAATTGGTCACATTTTTATGAAGTTTCGAAATACCTTGAAGATAATATTTTATTTACATTACAATTCATTAAAATTCAACCAAAAGCACTTAGCTGAACCACCCTATTTGGTTTTCTCTAATATATATGTACAAACAGCTGATACCGATAACTACAAGCGTGTCCTTAAAAACACTTGGTCACACATATTCTAGTACTATAGAAATTTGTTGAAAATTATAATCTTTATTTGTTATAGGATAGGTAAGTTCTAGAAAATAAATCAGTTTAGTAACTCGATATAGTTATATTTACTTTTCCGAAAATCTTGTCATCGATACTCGTGTACGAATGAAAATGTTTTAACATAGAAGGAATCATATTTATGTGAATTCAATAGATGCCGGCTGATGTAACTGCAGTTCAAACGCGTGTTGCCATTACGTTTAATTTACCAGTTATTCTGTCTGATGGTTTCATCTGGAATCATCTGAAATTTATATTGTGTGTTTATCATTCGTAGCCAAATACAATGTTATCACGGTTGAAATGTTTGAGATTGGCTCCGCATAGGACGAATGTGTTGCGTGCTCAGCGGGCGAGAACAAATTGCAAATCTGTGTCCACCTTTGATGACATGTTGAGCGGTGCAAAGCCAAAGGAAGCGAATGTAGCTCAGCTTGAAGTCCCACATATAATACAGCAGCAAGAATACAGATATAATGAAGGCAAACTCTATCATGGATTCCAATGTGAACGCGTCGAACGAATACCTGACTTTGATCTTACGTCCTATACACTGCGACATGAAGGAACTGGCACGGAACTATGGCATATCGACCGAAATGACACAAACAATGTATTCTCGATCAATTTTCGGACCACACCTTTTGATTCCACTGGTCTTCCACATATTCTGGAACATCTAGCGCTATGTGGGTCAAAAAACTATCCCGTCCGTGACCCATTCTTTAAGATGCTTAATCGCTCTGTAGCAACGTTCATGAATGCCATGACAGGTCCAGATTACACACTCTATCCTTTTTCAACCATGAATGAAGTGGACTTTAGGAATTTACAACGTATTTACTTGGATGCTGTTTTTAAGTAAGTCCGTATATGTTAAAACATAGTACAAAAATATTGATAATTCCTCATTATAGCCCTAACCTTGCGCATTTGGATTTTCTTCAAGAGGGCTGGCGTTTAGAAAACAAGGACTTACATAATCGGGAGTCCGAACTTGTTATCAAGGGTGTGGTTTATAATGAAATGAAAGGCGCGTTTTCTGAGAATTCTCAAGTTTTTGGACAGAATCTCCTCAATAATATTTTACCCGACCACACATATGGACATGTTTCCGGAGGAAATCCATTGGAGATACCCAAATTAACGCACACGGATTTGATTGAATTCCATCGCAAATACTATCATCCAAGTAACGCCCGTATCTACTCTTATGGTTCTTTTGATTTGACTAAGACGCTTGAGCTTATTGATAAAGAATATTTATCTCTGCGCACCAGGATAGACAACTCTTATAGCCGTATCCCTCTACAACCGCGATGGTCACAGCCACGCCACGTACACATTTCGAGTAGACTGGACAATATGGGCGCTGCGTTCGATCGACAGAACCAAATTGCCATTGCTTTGCTTATGTGCGACATGACCAACATACAAGAAACGTTTGAACTAAACGTCCTATCCGAAATATTGATCCGTGGACCTAACTCTGCGTTTTACAAGAGCCTAATAGAACCAAACTTTTCCGGGGGCTACAACCAGAGTACTGGGTATTCTGCAGACACCAAGGATACGGCATTTGTTGTCGGGTTGCAAGACCTGCGAGTTGAAGACTTTAAAAAATTCAACGACCTCTTTAGCCAAACTTTATGCAAAGCCATGGAGGAAGGATTTGAGTCCCAGCATGTAGAAAGCATTCTCCACAATCTTGAATTGTCATTAAAACATCAAAGTCCACATTTTGGCAATGCTTTGTTATTTAACTCAACAGCACTGTGGAACCATGATGGCGATGTAGTTAGCAACCTTCGGGTCTCAGATATGATAGCAAGGCTGCGAACATGCTTAAGGCAGAATAAGAACTACTTCCAGGAAAAAATGAACACATATTTTGTAAATAATTCGCACAAACTTACTCTTACGATGTCGCCTGACGAGTTGTACGAGGAAAACTTTAAGCAGGCTGAATTGGAAATGCTAAAGCAGAAAACTAATGCGCTCGATAATGAAAAGTTGGAAAAAATATATCAGAATGGATTGAAATTGGATGCTTCTCAAAAGGCCGCACCGAATACTAACCTTTTGCCGTGTCTAACGCTAAGCGATGTGAAGAAACCACCAAATTGGCCAAAGTTGAGAATCCAAACTATACAAGAAGTTCAAACTCAGATTTGCGAGGTTCCAACCAACGAGATTACCTATTTGAAATGCCTATTTAATATAACTGGTTTGAGTGAAGATGAAGTTAAGCTCGTGCCATTGTTTTGCAATATTATCAATGACATGGGAACCAGCATGCATGATTTTCGTGAATTTGACAAACTCGTACTCTCTAAGACTGCTGGAATTGACTTTAAGCTAAATTTCGTCGAAAATGTTGAAGATGCCAAAAGTTACCGGCTGAGCTTGATGATGACAACACATGCACTAGATAAAAATGTGCCAGATATGTTTTCATTGTGTCAAGATTTGCTGCGAAACTTCAAGCTTGACGACACTGACCGTCTGAAAATGCTTATTGAAAACTACATATCCAGTATATCAATAGGTATCGCCAGTTCTGGTCACTTGTATGCAATGTTAGGAGCAGCCGCGTTAGTTAGTAATGCAAGTAAACTGAAGTCTCTGTTATCAGGAGTCGATCACATAGATTTCATGAAGAATTTTGTGCAGAAAAACAACACTACGGACATTCGAGACCAGTTGAAGTCGATTGGTACAAAGGTTTTTAGTAAGAGCAATTTGCGTGTGGCCATCAACAGCTCAGAATCATACCTACCAACGGCCGTAGACCATTTGAAGAACTTTTTGGAGACATTGCCCACTCTAGAAAAAACTATTGAAAGCAGCGAGATTACCCTCTTGCATCCAAGCTGTCAACAATACCTCATGAACATACCAGTCAACTACTGTGCAAAAGCATTCTTTGCAGTCCCCTATTTGCATAAAGATCATCCCACATTGCGCGTTCTTGCCAAGCTTGTGTCGGCTAAGTATCTTCTGCCTGTGGTTCGCGAACAGAATGGGGCCTACGGAGCAGGCGCTAAAATAAGTTCGGATGGGATTTTCAGCTTCTACAGCTATCGTGACCCCCATTCCACTAAAACGCTAGAAGCGTTTGAAAAAACATATGAGTGGTTGCAATCGGAGAGTAAGCAGATTGATCAGCAGGCTCTTTTTGAGGCGAAACTCGGAGTTCTACAGCAGCTGGACTCGCCAATTGCACCTGGAAATATTGGGATTGATTACTTCTTGTATGAAGTATCGCAAGATATGTTTGTGAAATATCGTTCTCGAATGCTATCTATAACTGTTGATGAACTCCACGACGTGATTGAACGTTACTTTAAGGAAAACTCAAAGAATTATGGAAAATGCATTTTGGGACCAGCCAATGAAAATTTAGAACTGGAAACTGGTCAGAAATGGAATATAATATCCTAGATATTCGTATTAAAAATTTCGACAGTTCTCAAAGGTATCCCGTAGGAAGAGTTCTCATTCGTACTTTTTCAACCATCAATCATTGTTGTTAGTTCAGTATCACTTCATTTTTGTTAAATATGTATATGTATACGTACTATGTAAAAATATTAGTAGCTAAATAAAGTGGAAAAATAATATTAAATTTTTCTATCTTTTTTATCCCTCAGAAATGTCTATGCCCAGCACGTTTACCAATCCTGAGAATTATTTTGAATCAGTAGTCGACTTCTTCAGTTCCTACTCCTGGGTTTATCGCAAGGCCAACACAGAATGTCTTGCTTCAATAGACTCAATGCCGCAGGATTTTAAAAACTATTTTCTTGCAGTATCAAACGAAAAGCTTAATGAATTTCCATTTTTTCACGAGAATTTGGACGCTTTCCCGGCATTGTTATTAAGCTTCCAGCAAAAGCTATCCTCTTTAACACCAAGAACTTTCGAGCAAAGCTTTTCCGAAGCAACGGGATGCCAAAGGACTAGTAAGCACAGGATATCGAAAAAAAAACATCATGAAATTAAACAATTTCGCCACTCACATTCACGCTCATTGTCAAGACGCGCAAATTGTGGTTGACTTGGGTTCAGGATTGGGCTACCTAAGTCAAGCATTATACGAACTAAACCCTAATTGCTCAATACTTGGATTGGAAGCAGATCAAACACGGGTGGAGACGGCACGTAACCGGTGCCGTCAGTTTTTACCAAAGGCAGCCACAAAGTCAATTAGCTACCAGCAAAAATATGTTGACGCTGACTCAGGGGCTTATATCGACACACACTCATTGGCTCTAGCGAAAAATAACGGATTTTTGGAGGTGAAAGCTATGTCGATAATAGGCTTGCATGCTTGTGCGGATTTAAGTATTAACGCAATGCGATTATTTTTGAAAATGGATCGTGTGCTGTGTCTTCACATTATGCCCTGCTGTTACCACAAATTAGCTTTGCAATCTGTTGGCGGGGGCACTGATAGCAAAGATCAGACAAATTTCGTGAATTTCCCGCTTAGCACTGCCATGCGCAAGGCGGTAAGTGCATGTAAAAAAGAATTATATCTTAATCGTCCGTTTCTTAGACTAGCGTGCCAGCAAACGCGTACTCGCTGGCGGCGAATAAGTTGCGAAGAACATGCTGAGCACGGATATCAGATGTACACGCGTGCACTGGCTGATTTCGTTCGACACTCAAACGAATTGGTAAAACCAAGAAAACGTCTCCTTCCGGCTCATGAAAATCAGGATGCTTTTTGGGAGCTAGTGAGAAGATTTCAGTTGTTTTCAAAGAAGACAGGCACACCAATGGAGTGGCAAGCAATACACAAAGATCGTTTTTTAGAAATAAGCGAAAAATACACCGATAGACAGGGTCCTCGTCTAGCTGAGGGTTTGCAATGCTTGCAGACAGCCATTCAGGTAACGATTGTGCAATTTTCCTTAACTTATCCATCCAATGATAACCGACTTTAAACGTTTCTGAATTATGTAGAAGCTCTGTGAGAACGTGATATTATTTGACCGTTTGTGTTATCTTCAGGAAGAGGCTGGCAAAAATAACGTGCGTGTCAGGGTGCGATGTGAACAATTGCTTGATGAGAATCTATCGCCTCGATGCCACGTTTTGGTTGCTGAAAAGTTGTTTTAATGCGGGCAAAACTTCTGGAAGCTTGTGTGTCCCTTTGGCCGTACGTCAGATGGCTTTGTTGCCTGCGCACAAGCGCTAATACAATTAGCAGGCACTCTGCTCTGTGTTGTTTAAATTTTGATTTTAAGCAAGGATGTAGGTGGATGGCCCTTATATAAAAATACCATTGTCTGTTGTCATCAATTAAAATCAATGCGAGCTGCGCAAGATGGTGTATGTAGCTATGGGCATTTTTTATTGTTTAAGGAAGCATTTTACGAGTAAGTGCTCGGTCTTTTTGCTCATTACGCCGTAGAGCGGTGCGGGTGAGTGTATGGTAATTAAATTTCTTGTGGCTCAGGGTATACATGACCCACATACACATAGAAGTATGTTCATAGGGGAACTGATTCGTGAGGGAATTGCATCATCCAAAAGTAATTGCTTTAGTTATACTTACCACCACAGAGTTTTATATAAATGTGCAGCCTTTGCAGGACTCCGAGTAATAACCATCAACCAGCCAGCCATGCTAACAAAATTTCACAAATAAACAAAAAATTCAAAAATATTTGGTTTTTTCAACTGCATTTATTAAATATAATTATGAATGTTTCTTGCATGTACTGTACCTATTCATAAATAAAACGTATTATTTTATTTATGTATATATATATATATATATATATATTTATTTACACAATGAGCGTGTGTGCGCGCTAATTCGGATTTCAAAATATTAAACAATTTTGATTCGACACATACTAAATAGTGTAGATAGCTGCCCATATTTTAATGCCACATGGACATTGGGTATCTATCTAAAGACTACAGTTGGAATTTATTAAATATTAAAACTTTTTCCAGCCCCTTTGATAAGTTTTAATACCTTTTGCTTATAAGTTTAAATAAATCGCAGAAAAGCCATTGGATAGCAAGAATCGTATTAAATGTCATAGAAGCATGTGCCACTACAAGCTCTGAATGTTTGTCAATCAATCGCTAGCATTTTTCTTTGTTCTTTATGATTTCTTTCCTCAGTTTATGACGTTGTTTGCATCACCTTCTGCCATGCTCGTGGAATCGAGACTTTCTCCAACGTCAGAGTGATGGTCATTGCTGTGTTTAATAAATTTCCATGTTAAGTGAAATGCGAAATCCCTGTACATTTCTGTAGATAAACTCACTCTTTACAACGATAGTAATTGCTGATGCCTGTGTACACGCACGACATAAGGGATGGACGTAATCTGCTGTTGGTGTTTGTTGTCTGTTGCTCCTCATCCTGCGACGAGTCCTTGCTGAGGGCCAGGCTTAGACTGTTCTGTTCGTAGGGGGACAAGTACTCGCCGTTTCGTTTTCCATATCGAGAGCCAAGAAAAAAACGATCATTTCGTGGTACTATTATGAGACGTCGCGTTTTCGAGCTTCCCAGGCTAGTCGCCCCACCGCTAGTGACAGCATTGCCGCTAGATCGTCCATAGCGACTTCCCACAAAGAAGGCGGGCCTTTTTTGTAAAGTTTGCATGGCTGAAAAGTAAAATAATTACAAATTTAATATATTAAGCTATTGGATACGGTGTACTGACCTCCGCCGTCCTGTCGATGCGTGTTTTCAACATTCGATTGATCTGTGGACCCTGCACATACGTTCTCAGACAGCACCGCGCAAATAGTAATCAATAATAGTCCCAAATAAAATCGTCGCGGTGTGAACTGATTCGAATTCCACATTTTGATTATCTTTTAACTATATCTCTGCAATAGAATATGTTAATAGCAAGTCAGCATAAAGACTCCTTAAATAAGTTCAAAAAGTTCATATTTTTGTATTTGTCGACTACTTAATGCTCTATGTAATATAAATACAAAAGAAAATCATTAAATAAAATATTTCCCAGATAAAGATGATGAATTGATTCGATTCTGATACTTGCATTAATGGTAATTAGCGAGGGTAGAAGCGAGGACGGTGCATTAATGGTAATTATCGAGGGTAGAAGCGAGGACGGCAAACATTTTACAATGGCAGCTGAACAGAAAAGGCAAACTTAAGTTTGTCATTCCATGTACAGGTATTGTACAGAATGATACCTGTTGGTCACGTACATTGCGCGGCTGATATAATTACTTATTCACAATAAAAATACTTCACAAAGGCAGCTGTATTACAGCCATAAGCCGACAGCTCATCAGCAGCATAGCGCCAGTATTCAGAACGGGCAAATTAACTTTGTAGACATCTTACGTAACAGGGAAAAGCTTCATTGCGATTAACTTATTGACCAATTTTGCAACTGGTCTGAAATAATAAGGATTATTAAAGCACTCCCTTTCATTTCCGGCAAATGTAAGTAAGGTACTTGCCAAAAAGATACAAACTAATTTAAAAGAGCGAAAGTTTCCAAACTATTACTAAACGTAAAAAAACTGCCGCTCCTACGTGAGTAATTGTTTATATTTGTCCCGATGGTAGAGAAGTGCAATTGAGGCCAAGCTATGTATAAATAGTAATGCTATCAGCACAAAGCTCAGCATAAGTCAGTTGTCCTCAGAAGAATGCATTTCGAAAAAACACGAAGCTGCCGGCCCGTTATGCCACAGATGCTTCTACTGATTGTTCTAACTGCTGGTGCCTGGTGTGCTTCCAGCTCCAAGCCGATGGAGAAGCGGAGTCTCGCTCTGGACGAAGCTAGCATTCCCTGGGCTGTAACGAACGGTCCGCGAGCTTTGAACGGTGGCCCCTGGAACCTTGGTTGGCCCAGTTGGAGTGGGGGACACACCTCGCTGGGAATCGGGCCGACACCTAATGAAGTAGCTCACTCTATCTCGTTAGCTAAGCAGGCCTCAGCCAATGTTCTTATAGCGCAGCAGCATTTGCAAGCGGCTAAGGAGAACGTGCTGAACCAGCAACGCATCGCCACGGAAAGACAAACTCAGGCAGTAATACTGAAGCAAAAGTCTCAAGCGGCGGCTGCGATTCAACGTTCTGAGGCGATACAGCAGCGTCTTGCTGCCTCAAAGGCAGCGGTGGCACATGCTGCTGCTCATGCAGCTGCTGCGGAAATCCAGAAAACCGAACAGGAGGCGGCCAAGCTTGGCCACTTCACAAGAAACGCGCACCCAGGAGCTGGTAACCCACTCTCAACTATTGGGTCTGGAAACAATAATTTTTCGCCCTCAAATTTAGAAACGATCGGATTTGGGCATTGGCTCTCTGGCAGTACCGCAGGGAAATCTGTCAATAATTGGTACTAAAGAATGAAAAGAAATCGCTAGATGAGGAGCTGGTTTGCGTGCTTAGCTGTAAGCAATTTTTGTTATAATAAATATAATTAATTATATATCCGCCACTCCAAATTCGGCGCAATGAGTAAATGGTTTATACATATATTTTTCATGTATTAAAATGCACATCTATACATATGAAGAATACAAAATTTTCTTGTACCTTATATGCTTATATATGTATGTACATATATACATATATGGTTATATATAATGATCATAATACGTTTTGTGTGACATAAACAAGTCACATTGTCCATTTATAAAATTGATCACTTTTTTCCCAAAAAGATTTTAAAGTTATATGAAATAATGCCCAGATTTATTTACTTAAATGTGTGGTAAAATTATGCAAATTAATTACGCATAATTGTCACCTCTAAAGATCAAAACGCTGACCCACTCCGGCACGGGTGTGCTTAAACTTTTTCTGTGGACACGTATTTTAGTCCCATTACCCAAACACACCACCCCCACTGTGTCAGCAGTCATATGTCGCACGTCAACAAGTTTTGGTGAAACGCCCTTGGTCTCCCAGAGGCGGGAGGTCTTGCTGACCCTTGGAGTTGTCGGCATTATTACAGGGGTGGTCTGCGGACGAGCTACGTATCTACTAGCGTATCGTACTATTTTCTGTAGCCTGCTACACCTGCTTCATAGATATGTGTGGTCATTGGGGCATGCTTTTTACTCATTTTAACCTTTTTTTGAGGGAGTCTGCTGTCTACTGAGGTTTGCTGGTGTAATTTGTAACCGGACCAAAGCTGGTTTTGGTCGTGTTTGCTCTCCACGAAAACTCTTATGCGCCTTATGCAGGTTCGGTTTCACTTTGTTCTACTCTGTAATTTCGTTATGTAAAGCATAGAATGCAACATTTTTTTTTGACAGCTAATGAGTCATAATTATTTCGCAATGGTACGTCCCAAATTATTAGTTAGCTCTGATTAGAAGCAACTTTAAATACCCCTACAGTTTCACCTAAAAGCTTTTTAAATCCACAGTTTTAATGCGAGGCGCCAAAACAGACACCTTTACACATATGTACATATATCTATCTTCACACACACAGTTTGTTTTGTAATGTAGGTGGGAAGTAAGTGAAAATGGGTAGCAATGATATTCGTTCCCAAATAACTAAGACATATGTATGTATGAATGTACATATCATAAATACAAATACTATCTAAAGATCCACAAACAAATAGCCGCTAAAATAATCAAGTCAGGTTCTTTTAGCACTACCTTTTGTACATATTTATATACACAAATAAGAATATATGGGTCAGTTCAAGAAACCAAGAATATTTGGAAAATAAAAATAAAAAGTTTAGCTGTAATTGCTTTTTGGCGTACGAGATATATATGTACATTCTTTTATAAGCGGGAACTCTATTGGGTGTAAACAATCACTAACACAAACAAATAAATTTTAATAGACGTCTCTAGGTAACAAACGCCGCATTAACTCGCACTAAATTGCAATTAGCGATATTTGGTAATTGACGGGCGAGCCATTACTCAGCTGTTGTAAATTGTTGACAGAGCAAAGAACAATAAAAATCAAACGAAACATCTTATTGATCTCAACCAAAAGGACTTGGTGGTTTAGCGTAAAGCTCAGGCTTAAAACGACTCGTGGCAATGAACCAAAACGTAGTTTCTTTTTTTCTTTACCAACGCGTTGGACGGCATACAATGAGTGCTAAGAAATGGATTGCAAAATTTATATATTTCATCATATAAATAAATCATAATTTGACACTGATACCCCCTACTCCAGATACTCAATAATAATTTAACTGATTAATTTCCCAATATGTACAGATAGTGCTGAACTTTTGAAATGATCAGAAATTGGGCGGTTGTAATGTTTTAATGGCTTTATCAATTTCGGAGAGAGCTTGTCAAGCAACGCACCTGTAGCATTGTGGAGTGTTCACGTACTCGAAGACCTGAAATTTAATTGCATCAATCATAAATTTTGTTCAATTTTGGGTTATCGGGCGCAATAATTTGATTTCCATCAGAGCGTAACGAAGCGAATGTGAATGTTCTTAAATCAAAATTTATGGGTTGAGGTCGGTCGTGCATCGTAAATACTGTTATCTACCTCTGAGTCCCCATGCTCAACCACAGACCATGCTAAAATGGTGGCATGTCCAGAGTAAAGGCAAAATTCGATTTTACTGTAAACACAATCGTTTAACAACCTAAATAAGGTGGAAGGTGTCTTAAAAAGGGCAAACGGCCGTACACACGTACGAAATCTTTATTTTCTCAGTTTTGTGCGTCAGCGATGCCTGAATGCCAATAGTACCAGCCTGGGTATCTCTTCAAAAAACTTAATCGGGCCTGAAAAGCCGACCTTTCACCGGCAGATGCCACGCTCCCTTAATAAGGCAATGTCCAATTTAACAGGTATTCGCTAAATAAACTTCTCAAAACATCTGTAAAACTTTAATAGAATTTAAAACTGAATTTAGCGCAGCCCCAACACAGCGAAGCAAAAAGTTGTCCCTCTGCCTGAGATTGGGTAATTACTTAACCCCTATTTAATTAATGATCTAATGAGCCTTCCTGTGCAGGAAGATTTGACGCATTTTCGCAACGGATAAGCGGATGTTACATATTCACCACCCAGCATTGGTTAAGTTAAGTGTGCAGCGTCATTAAAAATATTTGGCCAAGCATACCAGAATTTAAGGAGCAGGTCAAGTACACATTCAAACGTTTAGAGCATTTAAACATTTTTAAATGTGGATACATATTCAAAACGAATTGAAACACTATTTTTAGATGTACCTCGTAATAAGTCCATAAAAATTGACTGTTCTATAAAAAAATTGTTTTAAACTCAAAACTACAATTCGAAATTATATTAAAATATGAAAAGTTTGCATCAAAAATAGTTTTTAAAATTTTTTTTTTTGTTTGGTCGAAAATTTCCCCTGAAAATTTGCATTCAGGATTCTTTTAATTATTCCAAGATGTGTTTTAATTGAGACTTTTATCAGTATGGTATGGAGTAGAGAAACCTTTTTCCATAAGGTGGTTGTGTATTTGAAAGTAGTGCAAACTTACAAAACTAGCTAAACTTTATGAGGAGTATAGAACAAAGTTAAAAAACTACTAGAGTAGAGCTTGTAGTTAATACTTATAGGAAAACAACTAAAATATCTTGAAGGAAATTGATACTGCGACGGAAAAGGTACGTTAAATATACTTACATTTCCATGCATACATATGTACATAAGTAAGTCTTATCCACATTATGACAATACAACAATAAAAACATTTGCCACAATTTCCATTTTTGTTTGGATAGGTATAAGTATACATACATACATACATAGATGCGCTTGAATAAATATTAAACGATATACATACATACATACATAAACAAACACACAGGTACATTGATAGAAAATCTCCTACTGAAAGTAAGAGTATGTATGAAACCATGCTGTAATTTTGGGGCTTGGGTGGGGGGAGTGGATGGCGTCAATCGATTGAAAATAAGTCAATCAAAGTTTTACATTTTTATGAATGTTTACCATTGGGTTCGGTAAAACGAAAAATGTTCCTATTTTTTCCAGTATATTGTGATTTAATTAAAACCTAGCTATTTAATGGAATAACTATAAACATGTTTTTGCCATAGCTTTTATAAAATGTATGTACATTGCAAGTACATATGTGAACTTCAAGATTTCTTTAATAAAATTATTTATTTATTTAAAATATTTTACAGTGGTAATATATATAATCTCGCTTTGACTTTGGAAGCGAGAGCACGTGTGTTGCGTGCGTGAAAACTTGAACCAACTGTACCTTAATTCAAGCAATACGTATATAATCAAATTAATATTATAACGAATGAATTTGACGACCTATTTTTCGGAGCTTCTAGAGCGGATAAATACTCTCTTGTAGGGAACTCACCAAAGATCCCTACAACATAAATTTGTTCAATATGTACATATAAAGTCCTTTGTACGCTACGATTGCGAGTTGAAATAAATAGTTTGTTTTTAATATTATTGATAGCACAATCGCCTATGAGCAACCGTACCCAGCTTTTTTTGGTTGGCAAATGTCGCATAAAATTGAAATTGACTAAGTGAATCCTTCGCAAGTCGACCTGCAAGTGGATCAAATAAGATCGATAATATCAAACAAATTAAAAAATAGCTATAAGCCAGACCAATAGATGGTGAAAGAAATTCTTTGCCAAGCCGTTTGTATCATATTTCACAAAACTGTAAAGCAAAACTATGATAAGGGCCTGCGGTGTCGGGACAAAAGTTGGCACTGTGCAGTAACGCACAATCAACGGGATGGACTTTATTTTTCCCCGCTAAGAAGCGGATGCCACTAAACTCATGAATATTGATTGAACGAACCTGCGTCGAACCTGGAGCCTTTTGTTGCGTAAAGTTTTTTGCTCGCCTCGCTTTTTATTAGTAATTTGCAAGAAACATAATTAGCTACGTATTCTTTATTACCAAGTAAAAATCGACTTACTGCCTCGGTCCATTTACAGGTTGTTTATTTATTTATATTTACACAATTTCCTATATACTCGTATGCATGTAATTACATACTTATGTAGCTAGAATTGTGCTGATTGGTTACGCTGTTAAGCACCAAAAACTTTGTGCTAAATTTTGATAGCTAAAAAACCTTGATTCATATCAATCAATTGAATTATCAGGTCTTTGATTAGTTCTCAGACTTATTTTATTCCGGTTCAGTAACTGATTTGCCAAGTATTTAGCATTCAGAGAGTAAAAGAAATTTGAGCCAATTGGAATGCTATAATCGGAGTTCTAACTAAGGGGATGAGGTACCTATTCCGAACCTACTTTTTTTAACAGCTGCGAATTGCAATTTGCAATTGAAGTTGAAATTTTTTTGATTCTGAATTAAAAATAGGTATTCCCGAATCACTCCTCTGGTATACTAAATCTATAGCAATTACAAATTTTTTGTTTGTGTACTTTTTTAAATATCCTTTTTTTTCTGAATATAATCTTTTGATACAGGCCCCCTACCACCCCTGGGTACACCCTTGGTGCACTAGATGGTAAAGGGATTTTAT